GTACCTTTCTCAGTACAGCAGAAGCTGTTCCCTCCAATCTTTTCCTGTGCTGTTCTGGTGGGTGCTTTATAGAATAAGAGTCCAGGAGCCCGCAGTATTCAGTCACGTTCAATCACATCAGAGGAATAGCTTATCGGCTCTGTTACACAGACTCTAAAAGGAGCGGTGTCCTTTTTCCCAACTCCTCCTTTCACAGATTTCTGCACTCCTTAAAGGTGCTCAGTGCTCTCATAATCTCCGAGAAAGCTATCCGTCTGTTCTCGATGACAGTGCTCTTGTTACCTAGTTACAGCACAGCCAATGCTGACAGAGTCAGGTATGAGCCCAATCTGCGCCCAGTATAAATGCGCTGCGTTCAGTCGAGCAACTCCAGGAATGAATTTGGCCCTAGGGACATAATTCTTTTTTCAGCTGGGACGTGGCATGTATGGCCAGAGCAGAAGTTGTGGAAACAAGACCCAAGCACGTGGGTTAAACATAGAGTGCTGCTGAAGGGGAGGGGAGATACACACTGCAAATTGCCTAACAGCTGTCACAGAAGGAGGGTAATCAATGTATTATAGTCCAGAGCATGACAACAGAGAATAATGGGAAGTGGATGAAGGGAATAAACATTTACACAGCTAAGAAATAACCGAGGATCACGGTGTTTTCAGTAACCCTTAATCAGAACATAGTTAAGACCCTGCAAAATAGCACAGCACCTGGTATCAATACAGAATAACTTTGAAGCATCCCTTCCACGTATAACAGAGCCTTAGCTCAAGAGACATTTTCTTATAATCCAGACATCAAGCAGAACAAAGAATGAAAAAATAGTGCTCTTCAGCTCCACCAACAGTTTCCTGTATGGCCAAAGCTAGCACGAAAAACACGACAGGTTGTCTGCAAAATCCATGATGCCACCCACAGTTCATTATCACTGAGAATTTCTTTTACTTGTTGGGCTGTGGTGAAAAAAGCTTAAAACAGTGAAATTTATTCTGTGTGCTGACCTGGCCAAGTAACCATACAGCCTTTTTTTGGAGATGTCTTTAGAGTAACTCTAGCTAGTTGTGAACTGGTGAGTGGCACCAGCCCATACTCTGCTTCAGGGCATAAGTTAGTGCCAAAACTCACCAGATTGAGTAGTGTCCCATGGCAACACTTCTAAAGAACTTTCAGCTTTGAGCTGAATAATATTCTTCAGGCAAGGAGCATGGGTGGAGCAAACGTGCAGCAGCACAGTGCTCAGAGGGCTGGCAGAGATGAGCTCAGACCTGTCTCCACAAACTTGACTGGACTTGCAACACACCTCCCTGCCTCTGAGGGAGGCCATACGGTTGCAATCACATGATGCTCTGTGGCAGTGTTATCCCCACTGTGCAGAGCACTGGGCTAAAGCTTTCCCAGTAAATCCATGCCTGGCACAGCAACAAATGGCATTCCCTTCTTCTAAGAACCCTGCTCAAGGATTTTTTTGAAAGCTGCGACAAAAGAAGACAGGAGAGTTAGCACATCACAAGCCCCAAAGATCATGTGAAACACTGAGTGGAGGAAAATTCTTTTGAGCTTGCATTTTCGGAATAGCAGGAGGGATTTGCTTTTATGTGCATTTGCTGTTTTCCACAGTCAAATTAATTTATCTTGCTGAGAAACATGCAAAAGAGGAATTTTGAAAAAGGAAGCATTGTTCATTTATGAATCAGGAAACTGCCTGGAGAAATGTAAAATAAGAAACAACTAACAGGGAAAACAGATGGCCAGAAAAGTCATAGTTTAGAATGTAACACATAATACAAGCAGTTAGGCTACTCTGCATCTTAAGGAGTTACCACAGACTGAAAAACTTCTTGCTTTCACCAGCTTTGGAACTCCTCATGAAAACTGCAGAGCTCTGTTAGTCTACCATAATTCTGTATTTTCTCTCTATACTTTTTTAGTACAACACTTTGAAACTATTTGAACAAAGTCAAGAACTTAAAACCACATCTCATCCTGCTGGTTTTTGTTGTTGTTGTTGTTGTTGTTTTGTTTTGTTTTGTTTCATTTTTGTCACCTGCAATGCATTAGTTGTATAGGAGAAACCATGCATGTAAGTTTCTATGGGGCTAAAGAAGAAAATGGCATAGATGAACCTCTGGACAATGAGTCCTACTCTAAATAATCTGAAAATAAAATAAAAAGAAAGCAAAAAGGTAAAACAGCAACAAAGCTGAAATGTTAAACCGATTTTGTTAGTTTGTGCACAAATGTTTCCAGCAGAGGAAACGTTGTAAGCTAACAGATGTGTTATTTGTAACAAGATGTCTTTGGGAGATACTTAGTATGTATCAATGATTTTAAGGAAACAACCACAGATTCCTCATGTCAGGAACTAGGCAAACTAAAATCCAGCTAAAAGTAACATTGGAAAATTCTTGCCACGCAGCTCAGGTAAGAAATGTCATAAATGCAGTAAACATACTTCTGTTGTTCACCCAAGCTCCGTGTTTTCAAACACGTGTCCTCACTTGTCAGCACAAATCCCACGTAGGTATGTTTTCCATTTACTTAGCAGTTTGGTTTGTCAAGTTTCCACCTCGCTTTGGACAAAGTCTATGGACAGCTAACTGCTCCTCCCCCGCTCCCTCCCCTGTTGCTCTGCCATGTGGTTCTCTCAATTGCCAGGGACCGTTTGTACTCCTCTTTAACCATGTGCACACCTTTCTTCCACGTGCTTCCACATGCTTTCCTTTCCCTCCTTCTTCCTCACTAACAATAAGGACACCGCATCACAAACCAGCGGAGGATAACAAGAAAAAAAAAACAGGGTAAAGGCAATCATAAGAGATGGAAAGAAACCAAAAAGTCCCACCTTGCTGTGGAGGCCTTAGTTCAAACAGTGATCCAGTCCTGTTCACTGGCACTACTCTACACGATTAATTATTTCATGCTACAAAATGCAGCTTCAGATATAAATCATTTTCTACCCCACCCACTAGAAACAAAACAATGTGGTGACTTTCAAAGATGGCATCTGCAGCCTCCCACCCCTAATGCGGGAACATTAAGCATAAAGCAAACCATCCCAGAGAAAGATGAAAGATAAAATGGTGCAATTGAGAAGTTCACGTTTCTACAGTGTCAGTTAGGTGTTCTGTCCTGTTTGTCTCCATGTCATGACTTCCTCTTCATGAGGAAGAATTGAAATAAACCATGGGTAAGTGTAACAAAAATTACTTATGAAGAAAAATAGAGAAGTAGAGAAGCCCAAGCGTTCCTTACAATAAATTCAAAAGCTGGAAGTCTGCCCATTAACAGAATGAACTCATGCATAACAAAACTTATATTACTGTTGCATGGACTTACTTATATACATTTCTGACACACATCATAGTATTGTTTCCTTTGACCTGTTCACATTATACTGAATAAACATCCCACTGGAAACCTCACCCAACTCTGGATATTCCACGACTGTATGATTCTAATGTACAAGATTAATTTATGGTGTTAAACATTGCTACCCGCAATGATAAAAGTCAGTATAACAATGATAGCAATCTTTTAAGAAGGCTTTTTAAAAAAACCTTTTAAATCCTTTAATGATCAAACTTGTGAGAACATGCAAGAACAGAGCAACAATATGCAAACTTTGTACTTTCCTGGTGGGGAAGTCTTTGCCTGTGGAAATCCACAACGCTTTATCGTGATCTGTGAGATACAGCCAGAGGGCTGGTGCTGCATTCTGTCAGCAGTAAGCAGCAGCTATGGATAGTTCTGTTTCCTAGATGACTTATGGATGCCAAGTGGCAGCAGCTGACTCACATTCAAGTTAGAAATGAGAGGATGTGCTTGGGAAGAGATAAACATCTGAAAGAAGCTAGAATCTCACCACCGCTGTGTAGGCTGTGGTTCTTGGGGATTCTGAGCTCTAAAACGATGAAAGCAACCAGGAATACTACTAGTATATGATGTGGCTGTTACACAGAGCATTTGGCCAAGATCCTTTCCTTCAACGCTTTAGAAGCAGGACTCAGAATTGATCAGCATTTCTGTCCTAAATTTCCTCTGACGTTGCTGTTTAGAGGTAGCAATTTTTAAATAAACAGCTCTGCTGCATCTAAGGCCTTCTTTTATTAGGAAGATAAGATAAAGCTGCAGGAACATTTCTTCATAAAAACTCATTTTGTGTTTGGGGTGATTCAGTTCCACCCTTGATCTGAACCCCATGCTGGGTAATGTGCACGTGCTCAACTCTGCCCAGTTGGCTTCGGGGCAGCGGCTGAACCGAACAGCAGGAACAACTTCGTACGCACCGACCTGAAGAGCAAAGCGATCACTGTCTGAGCGCGCTTTGCTCTGCGGCACTTACAGCTCTGGCAGCCGCACCGGTGGGCTCTTCCTACCGCAATTGGGTTGGGGTATCTCTCGTGCAGCTGGAGCCTACTGGAGGAACCGGCTGCTGCACTTGTGCTGTGCCCGCTTCCCTCGGCTCTGCCCCGCGGCTGCCAGTCCCTGACAGGACGGGGACGCTTTTCCTTTCAAAACGATGCGGCCGCGGGGTCATTTATCGCTATCAGCAGCACGAGCCAAGAGCCGGGCCTTCCTCCCCGGGCACGGCTTTGATCGATGCCGCCGCGGCTCCGGGAGCGCCGCCCCGTGGGAGGAATCGGAGCCGCCCCGCGGGGCTTCGGTCCGCATCGCACCTGTGCGGCTGTGCTCGGCCCTCGGCGCGGATGCTGGGCAAGGACGCGCGCCCTCGGAAAACCGAACAAAAGGATTCGCGGCATCGGCAGCGCATTCCCCTCCTCCCGAGGGCCATCCCTGAAACCGGTCCGCTGCGTTCGAGCTGGCGAGAACTGAATCGACAGAAGCGGTGCCGTTTCTGGCCCTTCCCGAAAGTTGGATTTCTAACACCGCCCGACTTCCCCGCCGCCAGGCTGCGCGCGCCCGCCACAACCTCAGCCCCGCGCGCCTCCGCCCCCCCGGCGCTCGGCAGCGCTCACCCGCCACGCGCCGCCGCCGCGCTCCGCTCAGGCGCCGCTCGGCCGCCTCGCAGGGGTCCTGGCCGGGCGCGGAAGCCCTTTGCCGTACGGCATGGCGGCGCTGTGGCGGCGCGGGGAGCGCTTCCTGGGGCTGCCGGGGCCGCGCCGTACGGCGCGAGCTCTCTCAGGTACGCCTCTGCCGTGCCCGGCGGTTAGCGGGCCGCGCTCTCGCCCTGCAGCCGCAACGTCTCCCGAAGCGCTGCAGCGAGCCGCTGGCGGGGTGAGGCCTGCGGGGCCTTACCAGTGCCAACGCCGTGCCGCGAGGCGCCGCCGGCCCTCGGTGCCCTGCGCGGGCGGTGCGCGCCGCCTCTCCCCGCAGTGGCTCTCGCAGCCGTGGCCCCTGCTTTCCTGAGGGGAAGGGCCGCACGAGAACGGCGGGACCTCGGCTTAGCCCCGGCTAAGTGACGAGAGCTGCCCGCCTCTGCGCTGAGCCGCTGAGAAGAGTCCCTCGCTTTGGGCAGCGCGGGAATTGGGTGCTGAGGGCTGCTGGAGCCTTGCCTGGGCTGCTGGCTGCTCTGCTGAAGCCCTCCTGTGCTCGCTGTTAATAAACAAAAAGTCGTTCCTCACCTCTGGTTGAATTTCAGATCTCCCCCGCCGCTCAGAACTGCTTTGTAAGAACGTGCTGACCTGTGGGAGAGGCCTGCTTCCCCCTGCTCCGTGTCGTGCCTTTGGGGCCCCTGTGGCAGCTGGGCTCGGCAGGCCTGATAAAGCGGGCACTGAAATATGTGTGCAGGAATTGCTGTAACACAGGGACGGAAAGGCCGTACCGGATCCTACCCGCAGCTGAGTGTGCAGAAAGAGCTTTTGGGGACGTTGCACAAAATGTGGCCATTTTCCACCTGTTTGGGGTTGCTTTATTTTCCGTGTTTCATGCATAAAACCAGACTGGGTCCTTTAGTGATTTTTTGGAGAATGCTTTGGAACACTGAAGAAACACAATACTTAAACCAGAGTCAGCAATGATCAGTTGTAAACAATAGTGTACCTTTTTAAATTTGCCTTTAACACACCTCTCCTGTCTTTCTTGCCTGTTTCTTTTTCTTTCTTCTCCCCCTATTGTCCCCCCAACCTCTTCACAGGAAAGAAGGAGTATGACCTGCTGGTCATCGGTGGTGGGTCTGGAGGCCTTGCTTGTGCAAAAGAAGGTTGGTATAACCAGATAATAAAAGCTTTATGTTAGCTTAGGTGTTGTACGTGGAATCTAGAAGTGATACAGAAAATATTGAACATTTCTAAGATACATAGTATACTGTGCATGATTAACTGTCAACTTACCTCTGTCAAACTGATCTGAAAATTAATTCATGCCCTCAGGTGTGATGATCTTGTTTGGCTTCCCTGTTATTCTTTTTAAAAAATATTTCTTCTGTTGTCTCCAGAAAGTCTAATCTTTATTTCACTGTTTCTGAGTGCTTCTGCAGATGGCATATTTTTGAAGATGGCATGTTTTTCTTTATTATATTTTCCTTATGTATCAGCTAAAACATTTCATTCATGCTGTTTCCAGGACCCGTCTAACTTCTGTGGAGAGTCTTCTGCCTTTTGTAGTGCATTACCCCATGTGTTCAGTAACCCACAAGATTCTTAAACATCTAATTTAGCATCAAATTATTGTGTTTATGGGCCCTAGTCTGGGTTATTAAATGCCTTCTGGAGAATATACTGACAACATCAGCAGCCCGGGCTCTTGGTGTGATGTCTAAAATTATTAAAAACCACCAATTGTCATCTCCTGTACTCTTAATCTGTGCTTCTGCTACTAAATATATTTAGGTTTCAGTGCTTCTCCTTCATCTAAATGTGTTTTCCTGCTTTTTGTTTAAAGCTGCTCAGTTTGGCAAGAATGTGGCTGTTTTGGATTACGTCGAACCTTCTCCACGAGGTATGAAAGGGGAATACTAGAATGATATCTGGATATGTGAGTGAAGCTATGGCCTGGGTCAGCAGGTTGATCCAGGCAGCAAAGTGGCCAAAGCCAAGCTGCATGCTTTGCTTGTAGCAAAAGATAGAAGCTCTGTGTTGTTTCAGAACTGTAGAAGTAATTGCATGAATAAATAATTCTCCAAATAACCCAGTTATGTTGTTAAACTCAACTGATGTGGGTTTTTTTGTTGTTTGTTTGTTTTCAGGAACCAAGTGGGGACTTGGTGGAACTTGTGTAAACGTTGGCTGCATTCCTAAAAAGCTTATGCATCAGGCAGCCCTTTTAGGGGGAGCTCTTAAAGATGCCCAGCACTATGGCTGGAGTGTGGCCCACCCAGTTCATCACAGCTGGTAAAGAATATAGCCCTCCTTTGCACTCCTTTGTCCTTTGGATGTGTAAGGAAGCATACTGTTGATGTGCAAAATGATTTTCACTGAAGCTTGTTAGACTACCCCTTGTTTAAAACAGAACTGTAATTACTAGCTTATGGGGGCAGCTCTTGTGTTGGTCTGCACTTCAATTTGCTTTCGTAACAGAAAGTATTGTAGAACTTTAATAATTTCTAGCAGTCACCTGGATGTTTGAGCTGTATTGTCTGAATTTGTAATACAATGTTTTCATGTTCCATTTCTTGCCTTGTGATAGGTCTGTGATGGCTCAAGCTGTTCAGAATTATGTGAAATCCCTGAACTGGGGACACAGAGTGCAGCTACAAGACAAGTAAATATGACTTTGAAGTTCATATTTCCTCCCACAATCAGGGAGCTCTTCTCCTTGTAGAATCAATTACTTGCCTTTGGAATTTCTCATTAGAGCTAGCGCTGTGACTTTATGTCCCTTCTGCTCTGGACTATAGATGTCCTTGCCAGTGTAGGTGAGATATTCTTTTCTTTTCTTTTCTGTAGTGGTTGAAAGTGACCATGGCTGAAGGCTTTCTAACAGCATAGCAATATTCTTGGTGATCTGGTGAGGTTTTGCATTAATATTAAGTAGTCAGGTTTTAGCAAAATAATTTCAGACTTGTGCCCCAAGACTTCTGTGCCATACGTACAGGCCTGCAGGTAACACTATACTAAAGCAGCTGAATTTTTTGCTTTTAGTGCAGAAATAATTTATCTGACATACCCAAGTTCTTCAGCATATGGTTCCTTTTGTAGAGTGATACTAATGTAGCAGGGACCAGTCTGTGACTCCTGCTGAGTGACTTCTGTGTGCTCTCAGAAGAGCATTCTATTAGTAATGTTCTAAATAGTAACGTTATGGACAGTGGAATGTGTATCATTTAAAGAGATCACTAACCTGATACCAAAGCCTGCCAGAGCATTAGGTGCTGAATTGAGGAGTGAAGTGATACAAGAATTAAGTGGCAATTGTGTGGCAGAGCTGCAAACAATTTGGTGATGTGAGATGCTTCCTTTCTTTTCTATTCCTGATGGCTTTTTTTAGGACTTCAAATAGGGAAAAAATAGGAGTTTTCATCTGTGTTCTCCTTCACTGAATGTGTGTTTATGTTGTTGTTTTCTCCCGAACAGAAAGGTGAAATATTTCAACATGAAAGGAAGTTTTTTGGATTCCCATACAGTCTGTGGTTTAGCAAAAGGAGGTAAAAAGGTGAGCTGCTCTACTGGTTTCTGCAGCATAGTTCACTACAAGCATCTCAGGTTTTGGTGTGTCCAAAATCTACTTTCTGCTCTGAGTATTAAACCAGTCTGAGATGTGTCAGGAGAACTGCAGAGACACTGAGCTTTCTAATAGAGAACTGTGTGTAGGAAGCAATTATACTGAATGCACTGAATTTGGCTTCAAACAGATGGGTTAGGTAACAAAATAGTGGCTATCTCTGCTTATTTGACAAAAGACTGAATGTGCTTTTTTAAGGCTTTTTGTTTTGCTTTGTTTTTGTACAGTGTTACTGGTTAATGTCAGCCTGAGAGAGAAGTTTTAGGGGGTAAATGTCTTTCAGGGGCACTGTCTAAAACTATGCCCCCGTTGAGATTTCTTAACAGTAGACCTTAGAGATGAGTCACTTGGTGTGATCTCTCCATGTTTTCTCGTAAGCTGCCATTTGTACACAACTGTTCTTTCCAAGTAGTCATCAGAATCTTATCCAGCATAATAACAATTGCATGGTGGACATTAGTAGCAGAGTATGTATAGGAGAAGCCTTCTGCCTGTATTATTTTGCTTTACCCCTGGCCTTTTTTAACATTTTGCTGATTGTTATGTCAGATAAATGGTAGGTGGTAGTGCCAGCTTGCTCTCATATTGCTCATTTCAGGTGCTTGATTGTTGTGTTTTTGCTTGCAGACTACTCTTACTGCTGAAAACATTGTCATTGCTACTGGAGGAAGACCCAAATATCCCACGCATGTAAGTTACACTTGCCATTTCACAACTTCAATGACTTTACTGTTGTGGTCTCAGAGAATAACAGATGTTCAGAGGATAACGTAAACATTGCAACACGAGACATTTCTTATCTGAGTGTGAAACACTATTTTTTGCATGAGCTACAGGATTTTCAGAGAAGCACTTTTATAGAAAACAATTTGCATAGATTTACTATGTTAATGTTCTTAGCATCATGGAGTCATCTAGGCTGGATAAGATCTTCAGGATCATGTGATCTTGCCAGTGTTGCAAATTCAAGATCTTCCCTGTGTGTTTGTAGATTACGGGCGCACTGGAGTATGGAATCACAAGTGATGATCTATTCTGGTTAAAAGAGTCTCCTGGAAAAACGTAAGATACTTTAAAATGGCTTTAATATGTTGCAGCTTTTGTACATTTTACAGCAAGGTGAAAAATGTCCAAAATTGCCTTTTATGTCATGTTTTCCTTCTGAGAATTTGTTTTACTACGCAGCAACATCTCACTATCAGCTCTCATAAGTAACTAGCACAGATTTTTTTTTTTCCATGCTATTCCCGTTTAAAATGAAATTAAAATTGAATTTTCATCGTTGGTGAAGGCGACTTATTTGCTGTGGCAAACTTCCTCTTGGAAGCCACAAGAGGGCAGCATGAACTTAAGCAAAGGCTGTTCCGTCCCGATCCTTTGCTACGAGTTTACGAGAAGCTGCTTCTCAATTGGAAACCCCAAGATAATGTTACGTTCTTTTAAGCGATGGCACGTCTGATAATCCTATCATCTAGCTGCATTTTCTTTTGTTACTTTTGCCCCTTTTTATGGTTTGAAAGCTGTCGATAAATTGAAATAATAAAGCCTGTTCTTTTCTATGTAAATTGTCACAGCATGTTTTACAGCACGTAACACAGTAAGTTTCTGAATCCACACAACACTCCAAAGCATTTTCTTGATTCAAATAGCTGTGGTAAGAAATATACACTTGCTAGCATGTAAGTCAGCTGGCACTCTTTCTGTTTGTCTTTTGGTTGTGCCTGTGTCCCCGGTTCAACATCTTCACGTGGTTCTGAACAGGGAAATTATATATCAGAAAGAGGCTAACATACAATGCTAGTGCTTTCAAAAGACAGAGAGCTGGCGTTCATGATCATGACTTTCTAATGCAAAGATACAGTGTATGCTAAGGTAAGCATCAAACCAATAAGGGCTCGTTGGTACAGTTTAAAAACAATTAAATTTGCAGCTCTTTGCATTATATCAGTCATTTCTTGAATTTTGAGAGCATGATTTATATGAGGAAATTACAAAAAGTGAAGAAAGGGGAAAAAAAGAACACTTAAACATAAGGCTTATCCTTGCAAGATGTCTCTGTGAAAATATGGCTTTTGTCCAGTTGCTTCAAATACGTGTTGTAACAGTGTAATATGGGAGCCTAGTGTTTATATGTTGCATTCCTAAGATTTAGTCAAAATAAGCCCTCGGGGACTACAGTAGCATTTCTGTACTTTATCAGGCTCTGTCCTAGCAAATGAAGGAGGGAGTTGTTAAAGGTTTGTTTCTGACGGATTTGTTTCTTTTATAAATACTCCCAAGGTTCAGTTTAACACTTTTTGTTTTTCAGTCTGAGCTGTGTTTTACTTATTCTTTCTTTTTTCCTCTTCCAAATGTACATAGCCAAGCTGTGAATGAATATGGCTGGAAGTTGTAGAACTGTCAGTCCTGCAGTTATTCTTCCTTTTTTTTTTCTGAACACAAACTGTTGGCCAAATTAAAAGTCCCTTAGATATACAAACAAGGAATTCTTGCTACTGAGATGAAGGCCTTGGCAGAGTGAGCTAGAAAAGGTGCCTTGAAATATGTTGAGAATGAGTGAGAGATTGAGCAGGTGTGGCAGAGGTTAGGTTCTGCTTTTAAAACTTTTCAGTTAGGTGCCCAGGAATCATCGAGTTTGTAGAAGAGATGGTGAATAATGCGTGGCTGGCAGCTGTTTTTCATTTGATGAGAAAGAACAAATGCATGCAGAAGCTGCAGATATTCTGACTCTATTCCCTGTGCATCTCCTCAGATATTTCTTTATGTGCAGTGTGTGGCTTTTTGCAGCAGTTTCCTGAAGTCTGCAGGCTGAAAGAGGGGATGTTCATCCATTCACAGATTAATCAGATAGTGTAATGCTGGAAAAAATATCTGCCTGTGTGTTAGATTATTTGCCAAATGTAAAACCTAAACCGGTAGATTTTGATCTTTTGGTAAGAGAATATGATAAGGTTTTGTTTCAAATGCTTGTACTTTGTTGCTTTTGCTCCTAAAATTAAATAACGTATTTAAAATCTCTGATGAGTTTGTGGTTCAGGATTAAGTACATTTCTGAATTTAAGTAGATTTCTATCATCTCTAGCTTTTTAAAATGCAATTGCCAACCTACTTCTTTCATACCCGAAAACTCTCAGCTGTTTTTAAACTTTGTGTTATGGCAGGGAGAGACCTGCTCTGTAAAAACAAACAAGTCCAGCAGAACTGTGCCAGTCATTGCTGTGGATTCTGGTTCATGGTGTGTTGTTCTCCCCCAAGTGGTCGAAAGTTCTTTATGAAGCATGTGCTTCTGTAGATGAAGATCCCAGTCAGAAAGAGTCTTAACATTCTGTGTAGTCCTTATAGCAGTAATTAGGTATTTTGATCCTTAATGATGCTTTTTTCCTTATTGAAAAATGCAAGAAAAAGCTTTGTTGTAAGTATAAGTATTATTTGGAATGCATCTCTAAGCAGTGAGATGTTAACAAACCTGCATATCATGTGAGTAACAAAGACGTGTGAGTGCAGCTTGCCTAGCAGCTGGCTGTCAGTGACTGACCAGTTTGACCCACTTCTACCACCAGAACAGCGACTGAACTCTTTGTCTGTTGGATACCCAGCAGACAGCAGACAGAGGGAACTGAGGATATGGAAGAGAGAGGACTGTTACAGCGTGCAGGCATCTGGGTACAGGCATAGAAACTGGTGTTCTAACTTCAAAATGCTGATGAGCAACTTCAGTGATATTTGTGATTGAAAGAGTGTGAAATGCAGGGAGCCATAGGATCTGCAGTGTTATTCAAGATCTAAACAGGATATATTTGATTCATAGTAGTCCAATTAAATCTATAGTTTGACCTAGATTATCTACAGCTATGTAGATGAGCTTTTAAAGACAGGAAAGACAAATATTTGTCATTTGGATAAATAAGATGATGAAGAAGTGGATGCCTTCAAATCAAATAGAAATTTAGCAGTTAGTAAAATCTCCTATTCTCCTTTTGGGAACCATAACCTACTTGATAAAAAGATGATAAATTCAGTATGTGCTTAACTTCTGATTGACTGAAGTTTTCAAGAAGTTTTAAAAATTGGTTTGTAATTAGGATACATCTCGAGATTTCGAAATATGCTTTAATTTGATGAGGTGCATGTCTGTGCACTAATATGTTGTGTACTGTCTCAGAAGCAGTGGTGCTAAGAGACCCTGAAAAATGAGGCATCGGTAGCAACAGACACTGTGTGTTTGGGGGAAAATAGTGTCAGTTTGCAGTCCAGATGCTTCCATCTGAGGTGAACCACAGAGCACAGCTGAAGTATTCATGATACCTCTTAACCTTGCTGACTGTTCTGATTTTTTTTTTCCATAGCTTTCTTCGCTTTGACTTTCAGAATATATGTTCAAGTATCTCTTTACAATATAAAAACACTTCCATGTGTCTTATATGCCTGTTATTTTAAAAATTCTGTTAAGAAATTAACCTCACTTGGTTTAGTATTGTCTTAGTTGGAGTTGACAGGCTTTCTTCCCACTTAATAATATCAGATCCACTGCTCAAATCTGTGATCTTGTAACTGCACACACTTCCAAAATAATTGTTGTTTATGCAAATATGCACAAGTTAATTCCACAGCTTCATTCTTTCTTTTTTATATAACAGGTTGGTTGTTGGAGCCAGTTGTATCCTTTGAAAATCTGTGATAGCTTATGGTTATAAGCAGCATAGCTGCCTTTCAATGAAAACTTAATTTCCCAAACTCCTGTGCTCAATGCCCAATATAATGCCCAATATAATGGGAATAATTTTCTATGCAGTAGCATCATGGGTCAGCTGAAGGTGAATTCTCAGGATCTGGAAAACAGTCTTGTCTCTGAGGAAAGTAATATTCTAAGGCTTTGGATTTTTATACCGTTCAACAAAAGGAAAAGATGTGTGAGGAGAACGTGGTATCTGTAGGTAGAAACACCACTTGTATGCTACCTTTTCCTCTGTTGCATTTATATGAAACCATTGTTTATGCTTCTTTAACTGATACTTCACCAGATGTTTCTCTTGAATGTGCTGGTTTTCTAACTGGTATTGGGTTGGACACTGCAGTCATGATGAGAAGTATCCCACTTCGTGGGTTTGATCAGGTCAGTGCAGAATATCTTGCATCTCCTTGTTTATCAAACATAAGGTATGCTTCATCATTTTTGTCTCCTAAAGAAAGGACATCGGCTTTTCCAAACATTCCCAGTACATAATTTCTGAAGAGTAATTAAATGAATATTAGCTCATGTTTTCCTATCGTATCACTTGATCTTTTATTCAGAAAATTTAATCTTTTTTTTCCTGCTTAACTGAAAACAGGATTGAATAGATTGGGAAGCAGGGAGGGATATGTACAGTGCCACTGCTAGAAGTATTAGATGATTTCTTTAAAACAACCCAGAGTTGCTAAGAGTTGCAGATAATGATTTTTAAAGTAAATTACTGGACTTAGCATGAAGTAGTTCAATGTGGAGATCATTATGGTGAATGTAAGTAAATCTCCAAGCTGAAAATTCTTAATGAAATAGGAACTGGAAATCATGACTTCATGACTTTCATAACAGTGACAACTGCAACAAGGTAAATAAAAAAGTGTATGTATTACATGGAGTGAGAGTGATCTCAGTGGAACCATCAACCCTAAGGTGGAGAAAGGTGTAAGCAAAAGAGAAGTTTAAAGAGAAAAAACTGTTTCAAGATTGGGGGAAAAAGTATGAGTGGTCACAGCTGCACTGACAAACAAAAAACAGTTTTGGCCATAATTCCCTTCCTGTTTAAAAAGAATACAAATACAGTGGAGGGGGAAAAAGAAGGGGGGGAGGGAGTTATGTTAAAAACAGATTTATTTGCTTAAAGAAGCAGTAGTGGGAAGTATAGTGGCTTTGGCTTAAGGACAATGATTGGACTTAGTAAAGGCACTGATTGAGTGTGGTTTTGTAGCCCCTGTTGGGAGAATACTGTAAAGGTAATTGTAGATCTTCTGTGTCTTCAAGATCTGATGCTAGCATTACCTTCATTTTTGAAGTTTGTGTGGTGTTCTTAAAACAGTAAGAGAATTCTGGTTTTCACTCACACCTGCACTGATTATTTTTTTTTATTTTTTTAAATGTGTAACAGCTCAATTTTGAGAAAGAGTATTGTTAGAAGAAGCAGTGATAAGTACCACTGCAGGTAATGATAGCTTCTGCTGGCACATCAGCCACCTGTACTTCAAAGTCTTTTCCTTAAAACTCGTGGAATGTGTAGCAGAATTTGCAAAACCCTGTATAAGAATGTGCCTGGGGAATTGCACTCATAATGGAAGAAATCTGCATGAGGAATGACATCAGATCTGAGTGAGCAGGGAATAGCATTAGAAGTCTGTGTGTGGCACTTTATAAAATACAGTAGGGCTTTCTCTGAGAACTTGATCTTCTGCAGGCAGCAAAGCACAATAGAAATTTCAGAAGTAAGTTGGAACAGATATAAAATAATTACGTTCAATCTGTAGCCACGCTGAGTCTGATGGAAACTGATTAGTGAGCTGTCACGTTTCTGAAGTGATATAATAACCCTGTTGTTGCTTTCCTGTTGGTTAACTAACATCAAAAATAAAGTTCTGTAAGTCAAGACCCTGCATGCAGATCTTGTGTGAGCAGTTTTGTGATGCTGTCCTTTGAGTAGTAAAGATATCCTTTGACAAAGTGCAACCTGAATTACTGCTGTCAAGAGCAGTGACATCTTGGATAAACTTGTCAGTGTTGTGCTTTACTCACTGCTTGTGGTGTGGCATTATTTCAAACAAGCTCTTGGGACAAATGCATTATTTCCTTTTTGTAGTAGAACTTTTCAGAAAATTTTAGGGGTTTATAATTATTGCAGAGAAATGACAGGTGTCATGGCAAAGGGGAGTATTTTTCTTAATTAGCTTTATTAAAGTGTTGAATTCAGCTGCCAGAAAACAGCAATTGTGGTAATGAATTTGCACTAGATGCTATTTTTGTATAAAAATCAAATTATTATACACAAGTTTTTACTCACTTTTTAAAAATAATCTGAATACTCAGATGCAGGTACCTCTTGGAAGAGAGGTTGCAGGTCATTGTAGCTCAGCAAATTGGGTCAACAGTGCACAGTAGCTAAGTGACAAAGAATGTTTGAAATATGTGGTGTATTTATTGGATTTCATAAAGGCAGCTGAAGGTCGTGTCTAAGAATAAATGCTTTTTCTCCTTGCTTGACAGCAAATGGCATCTTTAGTAACTGAGCACATGGAATCTTATGGCACAAAATTTTTAAAGAAATGTGTCCCAACTAAAGTTGAAAAACTGGGAAGCAGCAAGTTACAAGTCACCTGGAAAAATACTGACTTGGGCACAGAAGAAACGGATTCCTTTGACACAGTGATGTGGGCAGTAGGTAAACCTGATCAGCTTTATGTTTATTTGTAATGCTTTCCTTTCTGAAAAGGGAACTCCTTCATGTTCTGTGGGGCCAAACCTATTTTTAAGATTTAGTATCCTAAAGGTCAGTCATTTTCAAATTCATTTCTTCCACGTGTGACTTGTTCACTTCCTAAAGCCCCATGGAAGTTACAGTGAATGCAGCAATGCACAGTAATTACTTATGTATGAAAGGCAATGAATGTGATGCTGTTTAGTCGTCGAAACTTTCCCAGAAGGTGAGAGCATGAATGCCAGCAACCTCTGTCATTGATGTTCTGTAAGTACACGCGTGGTCTTATTTGTGGAGATACTCACTGCAAGTTTGTGTTGGTCTTACCTTCGAGGTTAGGTTTCTGCTAGGGATTTCTGAACTGTTCTTGTTAAGTTTGTTACTGCAGCCATCATTCCATCCAGGGAAGTAGAAATAATTCTCTCTTAAATGAAATCCAAACTCGTTGCAGGGAGCCTTGGCTCTTGGGAGATTTTTGCAGTGTTTCAGATCCTTCTCATGATCCTTCTCAGTTCCTGTGCTAGTTCTGATGGACTTGCATGCCCATTGGAATAGGATACCTCTTGTTTCGTCTTACATGGCCCTCTAAATATCTGAGATACTAGATACGTAATGAACAGCTGAAGGCAGCAGTGGTGTTTAGAAAGCAGGTATCTGGTGGATGTAATGAATAAGCTTAAACTTGCTGCCCAAAAAATCTGTTTTGATGCAAAAGAATGATCTGTTTTACATCAGCTTTAAGAACTCCTTTTAAACTATTGCATTTTTATGTTATTCTTCTCTAACATGACTGCTCTATAGAAGCATGAGAAGCATTACTTGTTCACCTGTTAATCAGATTGAATTTAATTAGTGAAGTCACAGAATAGATCAATTTATAGCTTTGTGTTCTGCCCAGTGGACTCAACCTACTGTCCTGTTGTCCCTTCCCCCTGGTTATGTCTGCTTTGTATCTTCCTCATGCTCTGAAGAGAGAGCACGCTGTGTCTCATCTTCTTTGGATTACTTTGATTGCCCTTTTCCTAGAAGTGTAAAGTGCTTGTGGAAACTACAGAAACAACATCTGATAGCGGGTTGTACTCACCAGTACCAAAAACCCTCCTGCTTTCTGAGAGCAAAAATGCTGTCTGGAACAGCAGCAATCCAGAAAACTGGGGAATGGTATTTCTAAAGCGAAACGAAGCCTGCTTTTCCCTTCTACTTCTTTTTGTTTCTTTCTTCCCCCCCCCCAAAGCCTGTCTCTAAATGTGGTCACTGATTTTTTTTTCTCAGCTTTCTGGTAAAACCACGCTCTCATGCAGAGTCACACCTGTGATATTTCAAGTCAATTTATTTTCTTTTGTCAAAGATTAAAAATGAGCTGTTAAGTTGAAATAACACCATAAACATCTTGGTTTAATTCTAATTATAATAAAGTTGCATCCTATGCTATTACAACTCTAGTTGTAACATGACTGCACTTGCTATTCTTAATACAAAAGAGCCATATTCGTTGTAATTCCTGTCAGAGATTTGAGTTGTGATCCATGTATAGAAACTGAAAAATGAACAGGTTGGAGTTTCTGTGGTTCTTTTGGTGTCTTGCAGTTTGGGCTTTTTTTTCCCTTTTTTTCTTTTGTTGTTGTTTGTTTAAGTGCTCCAGTTGGCACTCCACACTTAAGGTTTAAGAACATTAGCAGTTAAAACTGTTTAATCGATGTGCAGTCAGTATGATTCATTGTTTTTCTCTGCATCAGCACACCCACACCAGGTGTCTCAGATAATAGACTGGGAAACTTGGTGGTGTTGAGGATTTCCTGTCTGCAGATGTGCCAGTTACAATACTGATTGAAGAAAGTCAGCTTGTAGAGTTAGTTCAAAAGCAGCCACTGTGGTTAACTAATTGTAGCCTGAATTACAGTAGATCTTCCCTTGATTTTTGTGAATGTATCTGTGAATGGATTATTACAATTAATAGGATCCCATGAATGATGTTAAAAATGCTTACTGACAGTGGGATAATTCAAGGTTGGTAAGCTACAGATCCGATGTCTTAACGTGTAACCTTGGTGGGGGAGCAGAAAAATTACTTTGTCTATATAAAGAATTTTGTTTCTATTTTATTGGAATGTTTAATTTCCTACTAGTATGAATAAGCTATTAAAAGCAGACTTTACTTTTATAGCAGATTTTTGTACCAGTCCAAATGTTTGAGGCAAATATTTTGATAGATTTTACTGTAACTTAAAGATTTCAGTCTAAAGCTTTTACTGGTTATTACTACAAGCTTTGTGTTACTGTGCTGAGCTGGGAAGCAGGTCACTGAAAACAGCTCTTGCTTGGCCTCTATTTCTGTCTGTTTAGTCAGGTAGTGTCCTTCTGTTTTTCACTACAGCTCTGTCAACTGCTCTTGTGAGAATTCTCCTGAAATAAGCACCTGAGATATTGTTTCTGTATTGAAATTATGCATATAACTTTTAGTATGACAAAACATTACATCTGCTCATAAGGACACCAGAAAACCTTTTAATGATAAGTGCCTGATGTACCTGAGCTACAAAACAACATTGAGTTTGTGCTTGCCCAGATGGAACTCAGGGTGTTTGTCCAAAGGAGGGGGTAAAGACTGACACATTTAATCCAAGATGCAAGCTCTGATCTGCGGGGCAAAGCTGCAGGAGATGAAGCTCTGTGCAGTGCACTTGTTCAAGCTGTCGGAGGAATGAAACTCGTATTGAGTTCTGCAGCTGCAACCAGCTAATGTGTAGCAGGAAAGGACAAGTTGTATTTCCATTTTAATTTGCCGTTGATGGCAAAACATTACTGCTGCAACTGGCATTTGTCCAGATGATTCATAAGGTCATTGGAAAAGATATTGAATTACTGTGTATCTGATGGGAATCTTACTCTGTGGAGGAGCAGCTCCGGACTGATAATTAAACTAAGCAGGTGTTTATAAAATATCCTGGAGTTAGTTCGACAGAGAAAGTGGGATAGTGCACTGGTGAATTGTTATTAGAAAGAGTGGTGACCAGAAGCAGCTCTGAAGTCCAGCTTTACAAAAGAGAAATGGCTCATTGATGAGGGCAATGGAACAACCGTTCTCAAGTGCCTTTGCATTCATAGGTTTGTTAGAGAAATAACCGTGAAAAATAGAAAAGAAGAATATCATCTTTTCTATGTGGTGTGCTTAGTCAAGGCTCTGGGTCTCTGTTCTGAACTCCGTGTGTCTCTTTCTCGTTAATTTTTATCCATGACTGTCTTAATAAGATATGATTTCTTCATTCCTTATGAAAGTAGTCACTCTCGTTACATCACTCAGTGATTTTTTTCCCAGTGTATATTTTTTTGTGACATTCAGTCAGGCTTGTTTCTACAAGGCTGTTTTTAATGTGCTGGTAATATATTTGCATTAAAAGGGATGCAGATGTACATTTAACTCACTCATAACTTTGGATGTAACTGTATTTTATTGTGCTTACTTTATCAGCTCGTAATTACAAAACTAACTGCTCCTTATTGGGGAAAAATTACATATTAGAGTATGCCTCTAACTTGCACATTAGAAAACATTTTGGAATCTGAACTATAAGATGACATTTGATTCAAGAAGTGATGGCTAGGTCTGAATGGTGGCTTAAAGAAAGAAAAAATGGCAGAAAATACTCCAAAGTAATTTTGTATAACCAATATAATTAGTGTGACTTCTGCAGAATATGGATTCTATTCGTCTGTAAGTGTGTGGGAGACTGAAGCTGATGGCCTCACTTGGCAGTGGTTGATGGGTTCTGATTTTTGAGACTGCAGCATCAGCCTTAAAGGGTGCGGAAAACCTTTGGTTACTGCAAGCTCAGTGTGGGAGAACTGATGTGAAGGTGAACTGTTCTTTTCATATAAGGAAGCGTTTCCTGCACACTTTACCTTGCAGAAGACCTTGAGAACAAAGCAAATAACAGCTGTTAGAAGGCAGCCCTGTGCTGTAAGATTTACCTTGGTCACAGAGCATTTCGAGCAGCTTTTTTTTGTTGTAGTTCAGGAAGGACCACAGTGGCCATCCGTGGGCTTTTGTTGCCAGGTGCAGGTAAGTTCAGCTGTATGCTGGGTGGCGATGGCCAGGCAGTGACTGGTTGCACTGTGGCTGCCAGAGTCTTTCTCGTCTGCATCATCATATCACTAATCAGTGCTAGTAGAAGTGCTTCAGCCAGACGGACGTAGCAAAGAACCAGCTGCCCCAGCACTGACTGGGAGGCGCTTGGGTTTTTGTTGCCAAATTGCATCAGGCTTGCTGAAAATCTGTCACTAATGGGTGAAATGTCCAAAAATGTCCTTCTAACGCTGGTGTGCTCTACTGTCAATGTGATATCATTTCTGAACTTTTAAAATCCTAATTAATATTCCTGTAGCTGGTATTTTATTGTAATCTGAATATAGCTTGTGCTTTGTTGGTCTGTGTTAGTCATGATCAGCTGGCTATGGTCTGTATTTTCTTTTTAATACCTACAGTTTTCAGGAAGGGCTTCAAAGGAGGAGAGAGCAGAGGTCTTGACAGTGTTCTGGGGGCTGAGTCAGGCACCCAGAATAAGATGACGGTGAATACCAAGACTGGGAACACAGATGAGATTTTCACTGAGGTTAAACCACGGCTGGATTTGGTACAGTTATGAAATGATGTGTAAAAATACAAATATGTAGGTAAGAAGTGGAGAAGACTTGGGCTTAGGTTTTATGCCAGAAAATCCATCCTGCCTCACCACAATATCCTGACAGCAGCCAACTGTGGTATCATGCCTGACGTGAAAATGATTGGTTGGCTCTACTTGGAATTTTTCACATGCTGGGGGCAAAGTGACATTCCAATTTCTGTGATTAAGAAACTGCAGAAGACCTATTATAAAACTTTAGAGTTGCTGTCAGCTGCACCTTTATCACCCTGGGAAATCTTAGTGTGCAAGAGTGTGCTGTCACTCAATTATTGCTGATACTTTGGCTTTTGCTCAGTTTAGCTGATTCAAGCTCTACCATTGTAGATCCTGCACCTAAAGGTCACAGCAGGCTGGCATTGCCTTCAGCTTATTTGCTGTCCAACTGCAATTGCCGGAGCCACTCCACAGATAATGGGACAGAAATGCTACATCAGGCATTGCCAGCCTGGTGTCTGCCTGAGATGTGCCTTGATGAGTCTCCTGTCGCTGGTTGTAGCTAAGCTGATGGAAGCCCCCTGGAAGCCATGTTGCTATATTTTGCAAAACCATATCAACAGGTTGTTGGTGAATGAGGACAAACCCTTAGCACTGGGATGTGTGTGATTTTCACAGCTGTGTGGTTGTTGCATGGCTCTATTAAAGATGAGATTATGATGTGATATTAAAAGTGCAGTGACCTTCTTCAGGAGTCGGAGTTCAATTTACATCATTCTTCCTTTCTGCCACCTGTCTGTCATAAAACTTGCAGTTTTGAGTAAAATATAAAGCAATAAAAATATTGTGTATGTCTTGCACAGTCTTACACTTCTTATTCAGGAGTTTCAGGACAGCGAGCATCTTCAAACTAAAACTCTGCAAGCTGGGTTAAAAAACAAAACAAGGCTGTTGCCTTGTGGATCTCAGGAATAAGCTACAAACTTATGCTTCTTGAAGCTATGAGTATATAAGTAAATGTAGGAGTTTGGGTATGAAGCAGATCTTCTTTTCATCCAATATTAAAGAGTGTTGAGAACTGATTCTGTAATACCACGTAACTGAATGTTGGGAAATTTCTGAATTTCCTGAATTTGGCATTAAAACTAACCAAGCCACTTCAGTTAGTCATGAAGCTACAGTAGATTTGAGATGTAGCAAGATCAGTATGTGTAATGTTGTCCTATGGAGGTGATCCAGCATGGGTTAGTTTTTAATATTCTATCATTACTTTCAGAAATAGTATTTAGGCAGTCAAGTTCAGAGAGAAATTTTGCTGAGCAGCAACACACTTTAATTCTTAGCTATTAATATCAAACTGTACACATGTTAAAATAGATTGGAATTGAAAGGTTAAGTGTTATCCTGCAGATTTGATAAACTCAGCTGTTGTTGTTGTCACAAGACTTTAAATGACTTTATTGACAGTTTCTCTTTTTTTCCCTCTTTCAGTGCTTGCCATTGCGTGCTAAGAGCTCTCTTGGCTCTGCCTGGCAGGAAAAAGGGGAAACTAGAAAACCCCATTAGCTGTCCATTTGCAGAATATCCAGGCTTTACTCTCAATTCACAGAGAAATACAACGGTAGGAAGTTGTTTCACATCCGAGCCAAGATAAGGTCCTGCAGGTTTATTATTTTTGTTGCCTGATAACATCAGGACTGGGGAGCAGGGGGCAGAGAAGGAACAGCAGATCAACATCCCATGGGGACAACAGAAGGGAAGACAGACAGATAGCCAAGTGCCGACAGCTTCAGTCAGTACTCCCAGAGGAAGTGTTGGTTTCACCAGATGAAATTAATACACAGAAGTCTTTACAGAGGCATTCAAATGTGACATTGTTTGGGGGGCTTGGCTATGTGACAGATGTATAAAGCAGTGAATCATATGTTTACATATAATTAAGTCTGTATTGACAAGCCAGGTTTTCCTTTTGTTTAATAATTTCCTACATTAACATCAAAGAGCTTGTTTTTATAATGAAAACACATTTCCCTTTTTGTTTTGCTTTGCTATAGCTCTATATTAACTTCAAACGCAAAATCGTGACTCACAGCGAGAGAGATGTATGTCGATATGTCCACATCCATTCACAGCCTCTAAAAATGTATGCCATGTTATAAAGCTTCCTTCATTTGGATGCAATCAAGTGATCTCTTCTGTACAGTATAGTGTGTCCCTAACAACTTCTGAGTTGAGTACCTGATAATTTCACTATGCTTATTAACCTTGAAATGTGTTTGAGAAACCGGTTAGGTTTTAAGATTCCATTTCTGGATCAGGAATTGCTTTGCTTGATACTCTGTACACCACTCAGTACAGCTTGCATTAAGGCAATGGTAGTAACTTAAGGCAGAAAATTCTACAAAAATGTTTTTAAAGATGTATTGGATGAAAAATATGAGGGCTGCTCCAAAAGTAATGCCTCCTGTTTCGTTACGCTGGCCATGACATCAGAGGCGGCTGCTGGTGGCATGGCAGCAGAGGTTGAAGCTTCCCACCAACATCCCGCTATGTTTGGTTGCTGTGTGACAGATGGCAGCAGGGCGGCACTGTGACAGAATGGCATCTGACATGGGAGTGTGTGTGGAGCACAGGTGTGTCACTGGGTGCTCCATGCACAACAAACGCCTGCACCTCCACCGATGCAGATGTTCACAAGTGCTGCGTGCAGCTCTTGTTCACTGCTAGTGAAAATGCACAGCTAATGGTGGTGATTGTGTTGAAAAATAGTGTTTGGTGGCTGCAATTTTTTGCTATTGAATTTTGCTCTTTGTATCTGTTGTAGTTTACATGGAAATAATTAGAAGGCTTTACTCTTGGAATGGCCTACAGAAAAAATAGAGAAGAATCATATGGAAGAGATATAATTTAAAATCTTTGGAAGGGACACTGATAACATATAGGCTCAGTATAATTTGCCTCATTTGCTTTTAAATGCATTAAAACAATAGTTTTAAATTCTAAAAGGTAGTTTTACAGAGTTTGAGCCAAATGTTAAATGGCTCAACACAAGGAGGTTGAGAGCAGAGCTGATAAACTTTATCATCCAGGCTGAGGGAACTAAAAAAGTTTGAAAGTATTTTTAGAAGAGGAATGTTTGGTAGGAATGAATCCACAAGGCTGTTTGTTAGCACTGAGAGCCGTTCAGTTACTGTTCATTGGGAATTGTCGGTGTAGAAGTTGCATCATTATGTGTATATGTTCATTCTACATTAGTAAGATACATTTAGGGTGCACAATAAATTTTAAACCATTTGACTTCAGCTTTTTTAGCAATGGATGATGTCCTGCGTATTTTTATGGCTTTTCAGAATTAGGTGTGTTTTGTCTTCTTTCTGCTTCGACTATCAAACTGAATGAAGGTCTTGAAATTCTGGAGTGAAGAACGCTGACTTTTTAGATTAATGCTACTAAAGTTTTCCAACAGCTTTTACTTAAATATTTATTTTTTTCTTTAGGCCGGGTCCCTGACACTGGAACTCTCAATTTGGAGACTGCTGGAGTGAAAACTAATTCTGAAACTGGAAAGATCATTGTTGATGCCAGTGAAGCTACTTCTGTTCCTCACATTTATGCAATCGGAGACATAACAGAGGTACTGAGTCTACATAAACTGTGTTACAATAACAGGAAGCCAGCTTTGTTCCTGACTAATAGCTTGTCCCCAGATGTCGTCATGCTCTAGCATATATCTTAGTGTTTTGCTCTTTTTCATTTTGTGCAGCTGTAGTGTTCATGCTTGGCACCTGGTTGAGTAATTTCCTTCACATGGATCTTGTGAAGTGCCTCAGCATAAGTGATTATTACTGATGTTTATCAGGGAAGGTATCACTGGTCAGAGGCTAATAATAATGTCTTTATCACTTTAATTATCTTTCTAATGTTTGCATCACTTCAGATGTACGACTTCATGCTCCCTGTGAATGCTGAGTGAAAGTATTTCTTTCCTTCTGGAGCTGAATACACTTTCAGGGAACGACCACAACAGTTCTGTTGATGTTCATCCTATGGTAGCATTTCTGCATTCTGACGTAAAATGCTGCTAACAAAAATATATACCTCTGAAACAAGGAAAGAAAAGATAAACAGCATTTCTCCAAATACTGAAGGCATTTGACTTCTGTTAAATGATTCACATGATTTGTGAATGTTTTGGCCAAGTATATATGAGTATTTTTGTTACTTTTTTTTTTTTTTAAAAGGAGACTTCAGCAAAACAATTTCATGCCTTTATAGGCACAAAACCAGAATTTTGTGGCTTTAATCTACTGCTGTTGTTAATCTTCAGTTGACTGTGATGAGAATGTCCTTCCTAATCAAAGTGCACTCAAATGCTTTTAATCCCTCTGTTTTTATTTCACAGAAGAACTCAGAATATCTCCTCTAATCTGGGCATCTTCAAATATGTTATCTTCATAAAACATAACATGTGGGTTCATTCTGAACTGTACAGTTACAGGAGGATGTTTTCATTGGGTGCTTGCCATTCCTGAAGAACTTAAGCAGTAATGTAGAATATAAAAAGAGGGCATTGCAAGATACAGAATTTCTTTCTTGTCATTGAACTTAATGGAATCTAGCACATCCCTTTCTATCAAGGTTGTTTTTGATAGATGAAGACTCTTCATCTTTATGAACGTCTGAAATCTAAATACCATAGTGATATGCAAACACCATATATAGTATAATTTGAGATATCTTTTAAGCATTTCTCATTCTGCCATATGTAAGCCCTGCAGGTGCTTCTGAGTTTTTGAAGGGATGAAGCAGGTCTTGGAATAGCATGCTTATCCATGACTGGACACCATCTACAGTCAGAGGCCCCGAAATAAATCTGTTGGTCATTCCAGACCTCTTTTTCTGCATGCAGGCATGTGTTTCTTCCCGTCCATCTCCATCTTCATGCAAATGACTCACCTTTTCCTTTTAAATTGTGTGAAAACTCTATCCTGCTCAACCATTTCTCTCTTTTTTTTCCCCCATTACTCTCCACAACTTCAATCACTCGGAGACTTGGAATTATGGACAGCTCTTTTTTCCTCTTCAAACAGAGGCTCCCCTCTGTGCTGGTTACTTCACACTCTGGGATGTTTTCTGAAGTCCTGTTTCTACTCACAGTCACCACCAATCTCTTTGTGTCCTTGATACGTATCTTGATTAGGCCTCCTGCTTTCTAAACTATTCTTTCTAATTTTGTCCAAGAAGCAGTTGTTAGAAGCAGTGCTGGCAAGGCCTTAGATTCTGTTGCTCATTTTTGCAGCCAGTCTGACATGTTATTTTAGGCAAGTCATTTCCTTTTGGGTGCTTTTTGTCTTCTGCCCTATGAGGATTTTGTTAAACAAGAAATAGAAAGTTGGAGGCAGGATGCTCTCGTCTTCCCTACTGTGGATCTATAAAACCAGGTCTTCATTTATTTGTCCTTTTAATTTTGTTGTTAAAACTTGGATTTCCTTTTCCTGTTTTTGTCCTTATTAGTGCAGATTTTTGAATGGGAGTTGTGTAATGCACTTCTGAGTGTATTAAGAACAGCAGCAGTTTTGTACTTTGTACAGTGTACAGATGGGAAGCACTGGGCAATTAAATCAGTTTGCTGTAGTGTCTTAAGCTTGTATCTAAGCATGGACTAAATATAGGAAATTAAAGAAATTAAAATAAAGAAATTATAGGAAATTAAAGAAATCATGCATTTATAGAGTTTAGAGGTAGGAGTTCCTGTCTGATGCCATTACGATGTGAGCCGTGTAATTTCACTCAATGAGCAATGCTCTTCTTTTGTTTACACAATACACAAATACTCTTTGGTTTTTTTTTCCCTTTTTCCTTTCTTTTTTAAGGAAAATGAATTTAGATCATAGATGTGATTGGCATGGGAATCATCAGAGGAGCAGAGTTCCCAGGTTTGGCGTTGGTGCGCAGCTTGGCAGGACGCACTTGGTTCTCTTTAAGCAGCACAAAGCTGCAGAGCTTGGGGTGTGATACTATCTGGGTGAGACCTTTCAAGGGGCAGGAAGGGGAAGCTTCTACCAAGGGAATGAATATCAATGACCCCTAATATTGTCTGTAAAAATAGGATTTTGTCTCTGGTGTCCCTGGTCAGGATTTTTTTCGTTGTTTTTCTCTCTACCTGTCAGATTGTCTTTGCACCATGACGTGTTATTGCTTATACTTCTGTGAGTAGCTCTCGGCCCCTCCTCTCTCACCCTTTACTAGGCCACACTGAATAGATACTAACTTGCTACCACATAGTAAGATCTGTGTTTTAAATTCAGTTCACTGATTGGAAGGGGGGGGGAGATGGAAAACGGGAGCTTCCTGATATGTTCAGACTGAGTGTTTCCATTTGGGAGTCATACCCACCTGGCATAAAAGGGAAACTCAGTGTGCATGGGTGTCCTGTGGCACCCTTGTATGAAAAACAGAATCCTAATGTTATGCAAACTGTTCATTTGGAAAAAGGGAGGAAAAGAGAACTCCAGAGGTCACTCAGTTTGTCTACCATTTTAAAAAAAGTTTTTCAGGCTCCAGCAAAATGAGGTTTTCAACTGATGAGCAAAACTGCACTTAGGTATTTTTATTGTCAGTAAAATAAAATCAGGATGAAGATTACCAGGCTGGAATTTTAATTTGAATTTTCAGTGCTGATATAAGCCCTGTCTGTTAATATCCATCCTCCAGTGGTATTCTTGTTGAAAAGCATGACACACAGTAAAAGAAATTCTCTTAGTAGAAGATTTATTGTATATAGACTCCAGTATACATCTGGTGTATTTCAAAGGGTGTTAAAACAAAGATGTGTAGAGAAGATCTGCAGTATGTTGCTTTGAATAGAAATTAGACTGAAAGAAAGAGCCATGTTAGAACAAATGCACAGTACTTCAAAGCTTACTGAACTCTCTTAGGAGCCATCTCGTTTAAATGTCTGATGCACTGGAGGATTCTTATGAACAATCTGTATCCATAATAATCATCAGGGTAGTTGTACACATGACTGCAAAGTGAATGTTCGTTTCAAATATTTACCAGGGAAGGTCTTTAAGCTATTGTTTATGAGAAATAGGGCTTTATCTGCGTGGATGTTTTAGTAATTAGTTGGGTTTTATGGAATGCATAGCAGCGCTTTCACAATTTTATCTTTAGTTCCAATCTTCTATTCTTTTCTGGAATGCCAAAACAACATCTGTATTTCCTGCTACAGAAATGACTGGCAGCCATGTTTCAGGCAAATGTGTGTAAGAAAAAACAAATGGCAAATTTCATCTGGTAAATGACATTTACAGCCTTGAAAGTCCAAATGCTGGTGTTGAAAAAACACGGTGGATCTTAGGGGGGAAAAAGGGATGTACTTTCAGTTTTGTGATTTGTCATGGGCTATGGGGGAAAATGGTTTGTCTTTGTAAATGAAACAGTAGTATCTGTTAACAGGTTAGACAAAGTGCTGCTTCAGTTTATTTTTTGCAATGGAAGTTTAACAAAGGGGATATTAGTATAGAGAAAAACATAAACTCATAGTGATGTGCAGATGACTGCTGTGGTGCATGTAACGGTAAATGGAGCTAACGGTATGTGCAGAACCTGTGTAGCAACATGCAGGAAAGAAGCTATGGAAGAGAATGGATTTCAGTAAATGTTCAAAAAATGTTAGGATAATGAAGAGACATTTGAAAAACTCCAGTGTGTGTGGTGGGAAATCCTTATTTTCTGCTGGAGACTGTTTTCAAGAGCTTGCAGAATGACTACCACCCCAAATGGGGCTTTGCAGGAATACGACAAGAGTTGGGTCTACACAGAACCTGGCTGAAGCAAAATCTCAGTTTCTGTAAAGCATTCTGCACTGTGCCACGAAACCGTAGTTTATCAGTTATGGCATTCGTGTTTCCACATCTTTCCCTCGAGATTTCTGACTTCTTGCCTAATCTCAGACAGGCATCCTGCTGATACACTTTTGGATGCTCTTAAGTAAGCTGGTTTTTTTTACTAGATGTATGAAGTTTTTTAGACATTATTAACATTATTAATAGCAAAGTTTGCACCTACTGATTCTGTGTTCTGTAAAAATGTGTCAGACAACTGACAAAAAAGTTGGATGGGTTTGAAAATAGTATTTCTTTATACTATTTTTTTCTACTCTAAAAATGCCGTTCAGAAAACTTACTGATGACTTACTATGGAAAGAAAGGGTGTAACGGATGGTTCATGAGTGAATATCCTCTGCTTTTCAGGGTAAGATGTGAGTGTTTTTTTGGGTGCATTGACTGCATTTGTTCCCTGTCAAGACAGATACTAAGCTCAGCAACTTAGAAGTGTGTTTGGACAGCAATTATTACTGCCTTGTCCGTTTGGAGCGCTAGCTGCTGGACTGGAATTGCAAGGATTTGGCATTTCTTTGCCCGCTGTCCCAGGAGAAGTCCTTGGATGCCACTTCTCTCTTAGTTAAAACAAAGCTTCGTGCTCTTTTCCTCAGGGCCGTCCTGAGCTGACACCCACAGCAATAGCTGCAGGGAAGCTGCTGGCCCGGCGTCTTTTTGGCCACTCTTCAGAACTGATGGACTATGACAGCGTGAGTTGTCGTTTCTTCTTTCAGTAATAAAGCCAAATATTTCTCTATTAAAAAGAAAAGAATATTTAAATAAATGGTGTTTTTCCATTTGGAGTCCAGTTTCCAGTATCCAAAGCAGTTATGTGTGGCAGAGCTATCCTCCCCTGAAGTCACATCTACCCTGCAGCTGCTTCATGTGGTTCACAGTAACACTTTGTTTCCTCGCAAGCAGGTACCTACTACAGTTTTCACTCCCTTGGAATATGGTTGTGTTGGACTGTCAGAAGAAAAGGCTGTGCAGTGTTATGGGTCAGATAATATTGAGGTATGAAAATGTTTTTACTTATAGTTGGTATCAGAGTTGCACTTTGCAAAGGTGAAAGTTTGACTGTGGTATTGGACTGACATTTTTGGTCCCCAAAATACTGTATTTGCAGCTAGGAAAGAGTTCTTCAAAAGAGTTCAGACTTCAAAACTATTGCAGCATGTCACGATGGAAACTATTGCCTCATGGGCTTAACGTTATTAATAGTCTGACAGCTTCAAACTAGTGGCCATTTTAATAAATTATATTGCACAACCATATATATTACATACAGTTGTATTCCCTCTAATTGTCAGAATTACTGTCAGATTCTTTAATCTAGATTTTTTGGGATGTCCATGGAAATATTCACACAAATTATTCAGTGTTTTCTTTGTGGCTGAAATAACTTGATCTGATGTGCCTGGGCACTGCCTGTTGAAGAAGAAATCTGTTATAGCATATATTGATATCCTTCTGATAGGAGGGATGACATTAAGGTACTTATGATGAAGAAATTCACAATCATTATATAATCAGAGAAAATTCAAACAAATCACCCTCGAAAAAGTTACCTTTATTCACTCATCAAAAAGGCTGTCAGTGTAAGACTCAAACTATGGAAATAAAAAGTGCAGTACTCTGTTCACTCAGTTATCTGTTCTGAGTTTTTATGATTCTGAAATATAGCTTATACTTCAACAACTGTTCTAGAATTGTTATCTGAATTTCTGGACATTGGTGCCTTTTAGAAGTAAAGAAATTAGTGTAAAAGAAAATTGCCTGTTTAAGCAGGCATGTGAGGCATAGGATGTTGATGTTGTATACATATTGGAGAGGAAGTTCAGCTGATAGATTTGCTTGGATTCCCAGGCAAAATCATGAAAGAAAATAAAATTTTTCTATTCAAACTGCTAGAATTAGTTTAAGTTGTCTTCTGGTACACATAGAAACAAACATGGAAAGCTTCTTGGATTTCATTATTCAGAACAAACAAGTTACTACTTAGACTATTGGGAGAAACGTGAAGAAGCAAAACAAACATCATTTTGAATTCGTGGCATCAATTTGGGTAGCATTCTGTGGGGGTTTTTCAGGATTTTTTTCTCCTTCAAGAACCATTAGATTAAAGTTTTGAGTTAAATTGTGCTCTCCCTATTTTTTTCATAGTAATGAACATGGTGAGTGTTTTTTCTCATATCTTTATGTATGTGTAGTAATATTAAGGATTATTACAGACAAGAGCATTTTTTCTATAGTAGCACATTCTAAAACAAATGTTGTTTTTTCCACACCAGGTATTCCATGCTTATTATAAACCTCTGGAGTTCACAGTGGCTGAAAGAGATGCAGCTCAGTGTTATATGAAAGTGAGTGTTGTGAGCTTTTAACTTGCTTTTAACACAAGACCCATGATACAACCAACTTTAAGAGGGTGTATTTAGTGGGGAGAAGAAAACCCTGAGATGGTTGAGATCTTTTCTTGGTGACAGCCTGTTTCTCTAGAGTGTCTTTAAAACATCTAATATTCATTATATACCCCATTGCATCTTGGAAGTGTTTGGCAGATAATAGCTGTCTTAGAGGTGGCATTCCACTGATGGGTGCCATCTACGCGCTTCTGGGAAGGTGCAAGGAGACATTCAAGATTCCACAGAGGTCCATCTCTGCTGCCCTCAGCAAAGTTCTTAACTAGTTATTATTCTGTACTATACTATGTATTATTAGTTGATATTTGAGTATTCTCTTGGGAAAGTACACTGCTGCCAAAAAAAAAAACAGAAAGAAAAGGCTTACAAAACTGTTCTTTGCTTTGTTTTTCATGACTAAAACAGAAGTTTTCTATAAGTTCTCTAATAGAACTGAAGTGTGCATTCACTCAGGCCCTCTCATATACTTAGTTACTTTTTGTTGTTGATTACTTTCAAGACTCCTACTTAGGTTATAGGGCTTATTTGGTAAATGGATCTCACCAACAGGGTTCTGTAAGTGTAAGGAATTACAGAGCCACAAAATATTCTATAATTGGCAGTAGTGTTTGGAAATAGTGCTGATTAGGTGCCAAGAGTACCTGCAAAACCTTGGAGAATCGCTAAGGTGTCACTTCAGTGTCAAAATGTGTCTAGCAATCAGACTAATGAAGGTCGCTTTAAGATGTTATGCAAACAAGAAACAGTTCAGTATTTAACAAATTGTGGTCAGTGGCTCCCTGACGTCTGAAAGAAATGCAGTAATAAAGCTTTGATTCAGGAAAGTGCTCAAGGAGAAGCGTGAGGTCTATTGAAGTCAGTCAGATTGAAGCAAGTGTGCAAGTTCTTGGCACAGTGGGATTGGACGGCTGAAGTCGGATCTTGGGGCACTGCAGTTTCATTTAATTCAGCTTCATGCCTTATCTTTAGATGTTCTCAGAAAAGATTGCTATGTAATGTATTGTTTTCAGATGGTGTGCTTACGAGAGAGAGAGCAACGAATCCTCGGCCTTCATTTCATTGGACCAAATGCTGGGGAAGTTATTCAAGGATTTGCTCTTGGAATCAAGTAAGTACAAAAGAATGTCTCTAGCTTCTAAAGCCTGCTTTTAAAGTTATTGTAAGATTATAAAAGATAGCTGCCTATTTTTGGCAACACTATAAAGAATCCATGCTTTTTGTTGCTTTTTGTTACTTTCATGTAGTATTGCACATATTTTTACTAAAAATACTGCAGTTTTTCATTAAGATATACTGGATTTAGTTATTGTAATACTGGATATAGTTAAGAAACAACAGAGGAAAATATACTGTTGCCTTGATATCATTAAAACAAAAAAAATAATTTCGTTACCACTCTTAGTTTTCTCAGAGTGAAGCTGCCTTTGCATTCTGTGTGCAGGATAGGAAATCACTATATTGTTCTGCAAGTCCTTTTAGAAGGGGTTTTGTGCTTTCCACAGAAAACCTGCTAATCATTTCCTTTTCTAATCTGGTGTTTAAATGGGCACAGCCATTGCTCCTTAAAAGCTCAGCAAGGACTTGCATGAATTTTAAGCTTCTAGGTATAAACTAAACACTATGATTAGGTAAGGAAGCGGCATCTGTGGGATGGTGGGAGAAGCAGCTGTCTGATTGTTGCAATAATGAATTTACTCCAGTAGGTAAACCTTTAGTTTCAGTGTTTATTCAGATTTGAATAGTAATGCATTTTCCCTGACTTGTATTTTCTTTGTTGTCCCTTCAAAAGTGTAAGAAATGATTCTAGGTCCTCTCAGATCAAATAGAGTGTTTCTGCTGTCTCACTTGTGTGATAGACTTGCTTGTTTTTCATCTGCTTTTTTTACTGTTTGCTCACATTGTCAGAAATATTGATTTCTAAATTGTTCCATTACTAAATTACAGTACTTCAAAGACTTAAAAGTAATTTGTATTACAAGAAATGTCCTCCCAATTAGGGTATTAACCTGTTGCTCTAGATATCATCACTGTTCTTTTGCAGTTTTAGCTTTACTAGCATAAATTAAATGCAGAATGGTTAAGAAGGCAGGGCCTCAATATCACACGAGGAGTATCTTGGAAATCAGCAGTGATTGCAGTATACCCTCAGTACACATTTCCAACATGTGTTTGTAGTCCATTAATTGCCAGTGGTATAGATTCTACAACTACATTTTTTAGGACATTGTTGTTTTGAAGTTTTATCCAAAATAACCAGTGAAAAAACAGCATATGAACCTGGAGCGCTTTGCTGCCTTGCCTGAGGAAAATTAAAACTTCAGCCACAGTAAGAGGTTTTCTGCAGGTCAGATCCCTGCATTGTTTTCTATTGTATTTTGTAAATCCAAGGTTTTCAATGAGCAGTTCCCACTCTAAAACCTGCTGTTCTCCGTTGTCCAATATTCGATCTTTCGTCAGTCCCTCCACAGTCTGACTTTTTCGTTGTCTCCAACCGTCTCCACTTAGAGCACCAATTGATCCCTGTGGTTTTTGTTTTGGGTGCTTCCCTGGGTCATGTAGGCAGGACACCAGGAGCCTTCTGTAGCTCTTTTTGTGTATTTTGAGCAGAGATACAATGTATTCCATAGAGAATTTGAAACAATTCTTATGTTTAGGCCTATTTCAGCTCTTTTTACAGGGTAACCTGCCAGAAATAGCAGCTCAAAGGAAAGCAGTCAAATCTCGCAGTGCTATTGGACAAAAGATGAAGCTAGTGGGATTTCTAGCTCAACTTTTTTTTTTTTTTTCCCTTTCTCTCAAATGATGGAATTTTTTCCCCTGTTTATAGCATTGGTGATTTCAGTGCAAGCAGTAGACTTTCTAAAGATTGTGGAAGAATATGCTGGTATTGCTTCCTTCAGCAGATTCTTGCTTGCAGTCCTAATTAAGATTATCTTCCTCTGTGTGTGTGCATGTGTTTCCATCTGGAGTTGCTGAAATACATGTTTCATGTGTTTCACAAACACATGAAAAAGTTGAAGGCTGCAGTTTTTTCCTGTTTTTTTGTTTTGTTTTGTTTTGTTTTTCCCTGTAGGCTCAGTTGTGACTTGGGGTAAATTGCTTGATTCCCTCTGTCTCAGCTCTTATGACAATTCTTCTGTGCCTAACAGTGTAACTAAGCTGGGTTTGAATTTTGCTGTGGAAGTGCTTGAAAAATAACAGACAGTACTGAAGAATGAATGCAGCTTCCTCCACCTGATAAAATGGATAAGTGCAGGATTAGTTGGATGTTTTAGGAAATTCTATCTGCTTCGAGTGAATAATGTCTGACTTCCTGGGTCTTTCCTTTTTTCTCTTTTGGTAGGTGTGGTGCTACGTACCCTCAGCTAATGAAGACGATTGGCATTCACCCTACCTGCGCTGAGGAAATTACCAAGCTGCATATTACAAAACGTTCCGGCCTGGATGCAACAGTAACAGGATGCTGAGGTTAAATGCCATCCCTGGAAAGGAGGAAAAAAAGCACAAAACATGTCTGAAAAGGAAAGGGGCAATTGGAGTTGAAATAGCTTTGATAGTTTGAGTTCCAGGAGCCTTTCTCGTTCCCTCTGTACTTTTGCAATTCAGGCTGTAACAAATCCCTCTCTGTGAAAGTGCAAACAGCTCCTTTTCTTCCTGGGAGCTTTATGTACAAAAATATATAAAAAGTCACCAACATCTTAGGCCCTCTTAAACTCAAATAGTTGCCATTTGAGTTTCTGTGTTGGCATTGTTGGCTGTCATCAGAAGTGCCTTGCAGTGTTTTCATACAGATAGCAGGCATCAGGCAGAGCTTTCCTTAGAATTTTAATTTTGGTGTGGTGCTTTCTGTTAAGTGCTTGGATGGTTCATTCCCAGCCCTAATACTGAACATTCAGACTTTGTGCTTGTAGAGGCAGGTTCCCATAAGATCCCTAATAGCTACGCAGTCACCCCTTTTTTTCCTTTTTTTTTTTTTAGTATAATATGTAATTATCTGCAATTTTATTTTATTTTATTTTATTTTTAGTATTGACCAAAGCAGTAATTAACCTATTGAAAGTTTGTACTAGTTTTCCTTCTGTCCACAAGGGGGAGATGCTGGCTAATTTGTGGCAATGAAGAATCGTTAGAAATCTGATGTTTAAACTTCTTTTGCAGAATAAGTTAAATATGTGTAAGGAGCCTGACAAAGGCACAATACAAAGCACACAGAATTTCAAGCCAAGTTGCAGTTGCCAACGTTTTGATGTGCATGGTCACTTAATTTCTTGCAGCCTTTACAGTAGAATTGTATTTGTAGAAAAGGGAGAGATCAACTTCAGGTAAAACAAAATGTATCCTTTTTGCAATTAATCTGTGTAAGTGTTTTTGCATGTGTAATTTGATATTTGCATAGCTGCCCTATGTTCTCTTGTTACACGTTTTAGAAGAGTAGTCTGATGATCCTCTATATCTTTTGTTATTGGTTTTTTTTCTGACTTTTGCTACCGCAGCCTGCAACATGGACAAAGATAGGTTTATTTCAAATATGAAGTGTTTCCTTATCATGAGAATTGTACCTGTCAGAGAAACTATTAGGCAAAAATCGATCAGATTTGGTAAAATATTCAGTATTGATTACACTGTTGTTTACACTTGAATATTCTGGTTTTCAGAATTTGTTCTGGCTTTAAAAACAGCAAAAGAAATACCAAATCCTTTCTCTTCAAAGTTTACTGATGTTTCTGATCCATGAAATAAGAGGTGATGCAGTTTCACTGAAGGCATTATTCCCTTTCAGATCTGCTGATGTAATTCTTCATCTGCAAAACCATGATAACCTTGTATAGAAATACTTTGAGTGGTAACGCAGTCAGAAAACTGCCTGAAAATTGCAACCTCCTTTATAGGAGATGGTATCAAAATTGTGTATCTGCACGTGAATGCATATATACCTGCACCTTCAGAAATTTCTACTTCCTTTCATAGAGGCCCAGTGGAAATGATACAGCCAAAAACCTAATCGTTTTTCCCAGCTGTGAAAGTATTTGCAGTATTTGCAGTAAATTAGCTTTTTTAAAGATATTTTTACTTAGTGTTTCAAAACACTGCGATGCAGAGCAGGTCTCTGTCTGCAGAGATTTTGCTGAGAAACATCCCGCCTCTGACTGGACCGTAATGTGATGTGCGACATCTTTTTTCCAGTAATTACTTATTGCAGTTCATTTTGCTCCCCTGAGTGAAAACGTCAGAGTTCACTCGTATGAAAGGGCTTCTCTCCTCTTTCATAGTAATGCATCCAGCAGACTGAATTGTCTGTTTCTCCAGAGTGATCAATGGAAAGTTTAGTTAATTTCATTCATTGTAAGGTTGAAAATTATTTGGGACAGCCAGTGAAGAGATCTCAAGGAAACGTGTTCTCAATATATTCAGTGTTTGAAACTGAGGCCTGTAAGCATCCTTCAAATAATAGAAGTCTTTTGGTTTTACAGTTGTTATGTGGAAAATGGATCCTGTATTATGTAGTGCTGCCTATTTCTACTCCACATTTAATGGACAGCGTTGCCACCTGAAGTAGAACTAAATGTTTATTCACACCTACATAAACCTGATGTCAGATAGAATAAGGAAAGTAATGTGATTTGTGCTTTTTTTCCTGAAAGATTCTTTACGTAACTTTCTGGGATGGTCCTTAAGCACTGTTTTTCAAAGCCTGACCGATGTCAGTTGAGATGGGCTGATCTATGCCACAAACCACTGATTGTGTGTGAAAGTCAAACATAATTCTGGGTTTTTTTTCAGGATTCCAGCTGATGATGGCTTGTTTGTCAAACCACACCATGGCGCAGACAAGTCTGAGCCTTGCTGGGTCCCTCATGTATTACCTGATATTTATTGTGTTGTGAATTAACAAATTAATAAAGAATGTACTTTTTTTGTAAATGTTTTTTTGTTGTTAATTTTGCACGTAGCTCCATACATATATGCTTTATATTTAGATATTGTTTCTTCTTAATGTTAGAAGTACATGTGAAGGAAGCTGGACTCAGAGCAATTAATAAGGAAATGTTGGCCCCTGCCTCCCTCTGATGCATAAACTGAATGGCCATTATTCCAGGCTGGGCGACTTTCAAAACTATTTAAATTTGAATTCAAAACAACTCTCGATGAAGTACGTATGATTTCAAATATGCTCTGCTGTTAATTGCTGCTAATGATACCAGGTATGTTTGCAGTCTGTGTGCTGAGGTGCTGCTGAGGACTCGGCCAGATGTAACTCGGAAACTTACTGAAATACAGTGCAGAGCATCATGCAGGGGTAACCTGTATTTTAGCCATTTGGGTTTTAGACCAGGAAACATAGAGGAAAAATACGTTACAGCAAAGCCAATTAGTAGCTGTGAACATGGTTGATAGATAAAAAATATTTTAAAATTAATTAAGAAATGCTAGCAACACGTGTTTAAAAACTGTGAGAAATTTCTATCAGGAAAGAAGGGAACTACATTGACTGAGTTAATCCCAATTTTATTTCTTTATGTTCATTTCTTTTGATGAGAAGTTCCCATTAAATTGAGTGATGCTGAGCTGCTGGAACAGGCTGTTCTAACATTACATATCTTTCCCGGGATTGATATTGAAGAATAAGTATTGAATTAATTGCATTTAAAGTTATTTTTACTCTGTTTCCTGGATTTCTTTCACTGCAGGTTCTAATTAGGATAGCTAGGATTACTGGCTAAAAAGGGAATGAGGTAAGCATTGCTCTTTATTTTTTTCCCCTCGTTATCCTCATACACCTTTTAGTCGCACTGCCAACAAGAATAACAGACAAGTGCACAGACAATCTTTGTGAGTTTATAGAAGTGGGAATTGAATATGCTGTGTCACTTACAGCCAGCGATAGCTTGTTCTTAACAGTAAGTTATTGTCTACAATTAAGTTTTGCATTTTCTCCTGTAAACATGCACTGTTTTCTGTGAACGCCTCCTGCAAGAGGTTTCTGCGGTTGTTATTATTCCTTCAGACATGTTTTTATCCATAGAAATAGAATATGGTTATTCCATAGAATAGCATTTCTGACCAAAACATTTAAACATTGTGAAGTTTGAAGACTCCTTCAGAGGCTCAAGCTTATCCTGTGAAGTCGGCAACTCTGTGCCCAGCTACATTGCTGCTTGTCTGAATCCCAGTGCGTGTACTCAGTGTGAGCCATTAATTTCAGTGGGCTGCATGCATATGTCTCAAGTGCTTTGTTAAAGTAGAATCAATATAAGCATACGCCAAAATGTCTTTCATTATTACAGTTGGGGAACAGACTGCTATTACGGTTCAAAACATGAAAGATACAATAGACATATATGATTAGGCAATGAAATATGCCTTTAATAAGCATAGTGCAGACAGTTTGTTTTGCAGTAAGTAACCTTATATAAAATTCATTGACTTTTTCATTCTTTCAGATCTATATGCTCCCTTTTAAGAGAGGTTTTTTAGTTTTATGCACAAAGTTTTCCTGATGTTCTTCCAGGAGAAAGGCTGGAGTTGCATGCATTTATTCTAGTGCCAAACCTGAATTTTACTAGGAAAGGAGGAAGCATAAGAGCAGACCTTTCTCGTGCTAGGGAGACGGGGTGGGGTAGAGTGTTTGTTTTCTGGGGCAGCATGAAACAGATTTGGTTTAATTACTCTGTCTATAAAATAGAAAATTCTGTCCACTGCATGTCAAAAAGCTAATTATGTTTCTGTTGTGGCACTCAAAGTCAATACTGTCAGCTCTTCTTAGTTCTAATCCTTTACATTGAATTTTGATGGGCCAGGTGAAATATTCCCTTCAGCACCTTATTGCAATTCTTGTCAATCATCTTGCCATGAAAATATGCATATTGCAAAGACTTTGGCAACGCTGCATCTGATTTCAGTCTTTAATCTCGTATGTGCCTTAAAAAAACACCATGCCAACTGCTGGCGTTCTGTTTGGGATGTGAATAGGATTCTGTTTGCTATGGGGAAACAAAGAAAATGATCAAATCTTTAAAGAATAAAATGGGACTCCTAGGCTTTCTTAGGCTTAACATTGTACCACTGGAAAGAAAACAGTTAGGATGGTGAGCTGGTGCACAAATTAATCGATGCATCCACATTCATCGTGTGGATGTAAAATGTCTCCTTTCAAGCACTGCTGGAGTGAGGAAGGTTGTCTTATTTTCCCTGCAGATTTTCTTTGCGAGGGGCGCCGTTAAGTAACGTCCAAACACGGTTCGTGAGTTAACTGTATGTGCTGCTTTGTTTGCTGTCGTTTCTTACAGACTAGATCTAGCACACCTAAAATTTTCCAGTTCTACAATGGAAAATTAGCATCATCTCTAAGAATCTGGAATAGAAACTAGTAAGGCACATTTCCAGAATCCAATTGCATCAGTCAGATTGGTGTAGTATGAAGAGAAAAGCGAATATTCCCTGGGGCGATTGTGTGAAATGGAGACCAGTCTTGTTTGAACAAGGTGCTTTGCATTGTTAGCTAGGAATAGAGGTACTGGGAGCTGCAGCCTGTTGGAACCAGCATCTCCAAGGAAGGGGTGGGGGGAATTTTTTCCAGGCTAAAATCTCAGCATTTTGTGATCGAGTTTATCTGATGTATTAAAGCATTAAGTCAGGGAAACCCTCAGTGCTCTGCAAAAGATGAACTGTAAACGTCCTTACTGTTTTTGTCCCTCTTCCCCCATTCTCTTTCAGAGAACATGAAGAACAGGACTGTTGTGGGATATTTTCCTATCCTTCTTACCCTTAGCGTAAAGCAAGGTGGGAATCGGGCTTGTTCTTCCTTGTTTTGGCAGAAAATAGAAGAACAGCAAGATTCTTCTCAAATCTTTCGCAAGGGGACTTCTTTTTCCCAAGGCTGTGTTAGGAGCTTGAGCTGGATAGATGGTAACAAATCTAAAAAGGACAATGGATACCTGCTCAACCTATGTCTCTTAAAATATTGCATAGCTCTGGAGACGTAAGAAAATACCTAGCTAACATTTTCTAAGATAACAGGGGGAAGAAGACAATAGAAAAAAATACAGCTTTTAGGATTTAAACTTGGAGGGGGGGGAAAGAGAAGCAGGAAAATACATAAATGCTTTTCTTTGCAATGTCCCTGTGAGACAAGGCTCAAATTTATTATTAAACTGTGTACGTCTATTGAAACAGAACCAGAACTGAATGCAACCAAACAAGATTTTATTCGCATAGTGTCACAGCAGCAGACTGTCCAGCACTTTTTAGCTTTATGCAGGGGTTTGAGCTATCTTAAATTGCATCATTCCCTGAAGTTTCTAACGCAATTAATGATGCACAGAAGCTTTTATTTAAATGCTTTTGTTAAATGGGGACAAAGATTGAGCTTTGACATTTTTATTAAATCCCGATAATCTTTCTTTCTTTGTCTCAGAGGGTGAAGAGGAAGTGCATTAATTTTCACATGAAGGCAAGTTGTACAAACACAGCTGAAAACATCAGAAAACACAGGCATTTTCCTTAGAGAAATGGAATCGATGAACGTTCTACTGAAAAGACTGCTAAGTAATTGGGAAGATGTTGGTAAGCATAGCAGTGTGGGCAGCAGGGCCCTCATGCTCTGATAGCACTGTTAAGTTTGGCTAGCTTAGGTGAATGATTCCAGATTGCAGTAATGTAGAAAGCAGAGATGATTAACCAGAGGCAATTTCAAGAACACAGGCTGTTCGGAGTCTTAAGAATTGGTTCTCAGATTATCAAAGGATTTATTTCATTTACATCAGACTGGGATCTAATTAAATCTTGAGAGATGTTTTGATTTTTGCCTCTTGGTTCTCACTGAATTTCGTCAATAGGAATATTTCAAATGCAGGAAAAATAAGGAGAATTTTCTTGGCAGTTTGCTTGCATTGATTCCTGGTCTTGTTCGTTCTGCGTCTGCCTGGGATACCATCAAGTTTTTGGTCGAGATTTTGACCTTGTCCTTAATTAAGAGTTTTGATTGCGTTCCTCTCAATTTTTGTCATGTCTTCTTTTCTGTAGTGACTTCATTCTGTTTTACTTTGTTACGTTCTGTTTAAGTGTTAATGAGCGAATTCCCTTTAGGTGGGGTAGGAGTCCAGGGTATTTATTATTCTTGAAGGAGCATTTCAGGATTTCCTGCGTGCCTTTTCATTCAGCTCTCTTCTACTTTCCAAATCTGGAAATGCCACAGCATCAGAGAAGGCAGTTCTAAATAAGGTTTCTCCTTAGCTATGGCACAATCTCTACTGAAGAATAAGAGATCAGCTATTTGTAAGTGTTTATGTGGGGTTTTTTTGAAGGGCACTGCCTTAATGACAAAATACATCAGATTCATGGGTGGTAACAAGTGTGCCTCAGGATTAGTGTGACAGTGATGGAATGGTGTATCAGATGAAATTTGCTTGTGAAACGCAAGGCTGTCTTCACTGTCACTGTGGTTACTCAGAACTTTAAGGTCTTGCTCTTCTTACACAAAGTGGCAAATGGACCATTATAAGATTGTGTTTGGGGCTTGAACATCCTTGTGAGGCCACCTCATTGCCTTGCTGTCTAGTTTTGGAAGTCCTAATATTTCTCAAGTTCATAAGTTGGATGCACGTTTGCTTTAAGCTATCGAGTTGATATGTAAGAACAACAGAAGAGGGTGCTCACTTGGATCTGCATTACTGATTGAAGCACTCTCCCTCACTGTACTGCAGTGAAGTGTAGCCAAGAACAACAAGATAAGAATTAATAAAAGCGACAAGGGAGTTTCTCAGACTGTGCTGGCGCACATTAGCCTGGATGAAGAGAAAAAGAAGCTGATACTTGAGTCTTTTGAGTCATGAAGGGTCTGGTCAGTCCTTGAAGGGGAAGTACATGAATGGCCCAGTTGTCATCGCATTTTATTTTTCCTCCAACTTTGACTAATGGTGCATTTCCTCTGGCCTCCCACAGGCTGTCCATGGCTGACTTGCTTTGTCACTCTTCACATCTAGTCCAGTGCCTTTACTGTCCACCCTGTTCCCATGGCAGGGACCCAGTGTCCTCTAAAAAAACGCACAGGCACAAAACATCTGTCATTCTTCCCACTCCTCTTTCAAGCGACCACTTCCCATATTGTGTGGCCTTGCAGGCTGAAAGCAGCCTGCCTCCCCTCTGCGTGCCTGGACTACATGCTTACTCTCTCTGCTTGATAAGGGAGCTCCAGCATTCTGCCTGTAAAAATAGTAATGGGCATCTCCCTGTTGATAAACAGCTCTGCCTTTATTGTGTTCATGGGGTGATAAGTTGTCTGGATCAACAACCAGTTGTCCATTTTACTTCTTTGCAGCCAAAGTTATTAGGGTCAAATTAGGTGTGAGCTGTGAAATTAATCATTACAAGCACAAGCAACATAGTGTGCTGTGGACAAAGGACAAAAAAAGTAGATGTGGAAAATATGAAGAACCAAAGCAGTCAGGAAGGGGAGGAAAAGAACAGCTGGCAATGCTGTGCAAGGTTGTTTATCTAAGTCTATAGGCTGTGCTGGATTTGTTCTCCTGCACCTGTGGACCATGAAATCACAGAACAAGGTAGTTCTTTAATGTCGTTTGAGAGTCTCAATTAATCCACACGCAATGTGTCAAATGGAGAGGAATATACCTGCCTTTTATTTGCATAAAAGCACTACTTCTGGTGCGTGGATTAGTTGGTGGTACTTCTTGCACATCTCCAGTGTGGCCCCACATGAGACTTGTAATAATTATTCACTTCAGAAGGATCTGCAGCTATTGCTACTGATGCAGACTGAATTGTGCCCAACCTGCATCTGACAAGTGGGCAACACACATAGTTTAGTTAGATATACATTTGCTTATGAATACTACCCCAAAATAATCAGGTATTTTTCTGAATATTTAATTTTTAAAAGTGAGCTTTTTTTTTTCTTAGGGACTGGGCTTATGAAGATAGAATCTGAATCACTAATCTGAATTACATGGATCTCGTTCTCATTGGAAATGAAGTCCAACAGATCTAAGTTATTAGGTGAAATTTCTGAGGTGAGAATCCAGTCCATCCTCGTGAGGCAGCACTTGACAATTTGCACATAACCTACACCTAGGAACTGTCTCATGAATTATGTTTTTTTCCTTAGCAATTGCCCCTCCCTGTAGAGCAGAAATCGTGGCACTGACTGGCAACATTATGTGAAAGCGTGTTACATTTCTATCTTGAATTCTGCCAAGCTCTACAAAGGCTGATACAGTAGGGAAAATAGCATTCAGAGCAGTGATTGTCTTCATCTTTGCCCTAGTACTATCACTGTTCAACAGCTTTTTCAAAGAGCATTTTTTCAGATGAGTCTGTACTGAATTCTTGCCTCTCAACCCCATGTAGTTGTGTGCAGGATCAGTCCCAAAGGTTTCAGCCCAGGTGTAAAGCATCTACAGGAGCTTTTCTGCATTAACAAGCAGAGTCACGCTGCAGCTGGCTTAGGTGGCAACGGTGTTGTCTGACCCAGGTGTCACACATCAGAGCAGAGGCTGTGCTAAGAGTAGTTCCAGTGTGTTCTCTTCAGCTTTTGGAGACCAGTGAGATTCCACCTAGTTTGCTCAGATGCAACAAAGAGCAGAGTTTGGACTCACTGTGCAGCTTCTTAGCTGGGTTGTTGCCAGGGCTGCACAGACAGCAGTATTTAAGCAAGTCGTTTAGAAGCAAGCAGTGCAGGTAAACCTTCAGGTTATGTTTATAAACAGCGCTACTGGCATGATCTTTCTAATCTTAATTTCTATCTGTTTTTCCAGAGCCATTAACCAAGCTTGGGAGGAGGAGTATGCAGTTCAAAGGTCAAATGTATGAAAGCAAAGCCTGCTTAATATACCAAGAGCTCTTTGTAAATTTGATTCTAACTTGAGAAGTTAGAGAGCTGTGAAGGGCCCTTCCAAACACTTCCATTTTGTTTTCTGAGGTGAGAAGCCTGAACTTTGTACCCAGAATATAAGCTGAAGGTGTGCTGGATTTGCTTGGAAATGCTGCAAAGCTATTCTCATTTCCTGTAACTGTTGTAAGATTGGCCTTTTTCCATAGCTAAACCTTGGTTCTTAGCTAGCCAGAATAAATGGCAAAAGGAATTCCCTCTCTTTCATCTTATATTATATCTAGCAAGGCAAGAATCAAGTGAGCCATTAATTCCTAAGTCTGTGGCTTGATTTCCTGCAGCAGAATCTGTTTTAAAAGTTTTGTCTTCTCTTACCAAAGCTAATTGTTAATTGCATCTTCTTTCCTTTGGCTACTGCCACAAGACTGCCTTCTGTGCTGATGACAGATCTGCCCTTCTGTTATCAGACACTGCTCTTTTGCTATCTCAATTTCATAACAATTACCTCTGCCTGAGCGCTAGTGGATCAGCCACGTTGGGCAAAGCAATGCTCTGAGAAAGAGGATGATGGATGACAGAGCGATTCCCTTCAACATGAATGGGGCACTGAGGTTGTGTCAATTTTTTCTCACTCCTTACACCTTCTCCCTTTCCCTGCTCTGCATTCTTAACACGAATCACAATGTTTCTGCATGAACAGCGTGCACAGATGTAACTTTAAAAAATGTATGGCACTGCTGTACGCCACTTTTGTTGAAACTGTCAGGAAAATAATGATTGCTACAGGTGGCAGAAGCTGCTGAATGATCATCATAGGTTATATAGGGACAGAAACTGATTGCCAATTTTCTAGTATTTACACCAGTAATACTGCTTCCTTTTTCCCCCCTAATGCTCACATGTCATTTGCTACAGCTCATGTACTGGCCTTCCTCATCTGCCCCAGAAGGGAGCAGGCCTGGTGCTCATACTGTGCTGTGTTTCTGATCGACTCGAGGGTTGAGTCTGCAGTGACGCAATTTTACTGGCACAGAACTTGGAAGATGTTGTACCAGAACAAAACAAAGTGTGTCTGGAAGCATCTTGTCCTAAAAACCGTTTGCGGGCAGTACAGATTTCCTTATGGAGGTGGGTTCATGTGACTGGATCTTGGCTGTAGTGAGAATCAGCTTTGTATTCATGTCCTTCCCTGAAGTACTCTCTAATAGTTGCTTTAAGCAGTCTTTAGCTGAGATCATATTTCTAGTTTGGGATTCCCTTTATACATCTTTCATTAATACAGGGATTCTCTGCAGTCAGAGACCAGCACCACAGAACAGCTGGATCTATTTTGGCTTGACAAAGGGCACTGGGCATTTTTTATCCATATATTTATGGCTCTCATGAATGTTCAGAATGCTTTTTATAAATATTAAAAACAATCAAGGGTTCTGGAAAGAATTCATACTGCGTTGCCATCATCTGCAAGAGTTCTTCCATCTTCCTCTAGAATATGTATTACTAGCTGACACTGGGAACTAACTGGTCCAGTCTGTGAATTTCTAGCTGCAGCTAGAGGAAGGGGAGGCTACAAAGGGAATTGCTATCTCTCGATCATCAGAGAGAGCAAATATAATACAGGCGGCAGTCTGGCTGCCCCTGGAGCAAGTCAGAAGCAAGAAGCTTTCAAACAGGCACCTCTGAAAGTTCCCCAGAGTTTTGCTCTGCCTGCTGCACCCGCTGTGGTTATTTGGTAGGTTACTTGCCCTGCTTGTCTTGAGGTGGCTGGAGTTGAAGCATATGTTTTCTATTTAGAGCTTGGAGGATGCCCAGGTCTGACTTGGCATGCAGTCTGCACTGGGCATCAGCAGTACAGATGTGGAAACCACAAACCCGATTAATATGAGCCTAGGGTAAAAACTCAAATAAGCTTATAAATAAAACCAGACTTGCAGATTATTTGTTTCCATATTAGTCTATAATAGACCCTACTTGATATGTTTGTTTGGTTTAGTTTGGTGACCGACATAGGTATTTATATTTCCAATAAAAATTTAAATCAGAATAAAACAGACCAAGTAAGCTTAAATTATTTGTGCAGAAGATGATTGCAACTGTCTGAAGTGTGTAATTACTTACATGAAATGTTAGCCTGCTTTGAACAGAGATGTGACAAATTCCTCACTATTTAATTTACCGTTCCTTCATGGCTCCAAATCCTACATTCATATATAAAAATGGTCTCCTAAACGCAATCTAATCCTCAGTGAACAATCCTGAGGTGTCAGATGGCTTGGTGGGTCAAATTCTTGATGCAAACACCATCTGTGTGATCTTGGGTGAGTCACCAAACGATCCCCACATCTCAGCTTGAAGTAGTGACCATGTGTTAATGGCAGAGGGTGTACAAGTACCTACTGAAACTGGTGCTGTTTTAAATCCTGCCAGGCTCCTGTTCAGCTCTGGATATGCTAGAGAACCCCCATTGCTCCTTTTCACTGTAACTTCAGCTAACAAAACTGTTCACAGAAAAGCATTCCAAGTTCTCCTTGAGAAGGTTCTTCAGCAGTACTGATGGGTGCTTCCCTAAATGGCTCTGGGATCCCCTGGCCGTTTATCTGGGGTGAGAATGACTTGATTCAGCTCCACTGAAGCATGCACAGTTGTAAAGAAAAATCTGTGATTTGGCAGCAGCAGGACATCTAGTGCATTCTGCCTGCACTAAGGTGCTTAGGATGGGACATGTACCCCAAACATAACGAGTCTTTGAAATGGGACTTGTTGTACCAAGACTTTGTATGCATCTACGACTGTATAATCTGCCACTGATTGGCTGGGCCTACCTAGCTTTCAGACTGTATCAAGGAGATATAATTGGAATCATGCTTCTGTTTCCCCGACCTCCTTAACAGACATCTGAGGGAAATAAGCATTTTCACGTGCTGTTTTGGATCTCATGTAGACTATCAAGGGAGTGTGTAGTTCTTGCATCCCAGTCCTGAGCCTTGCATAAGTATATGCAGTGACATTTTAATGCTAGTATGGCTTTAAGGCCAATAAACAAATTGTGCTCTCTTCCCATCTTCACACTGCAAAAAGTAAGGGGAAAAATCTCTCACACCCTTTGTTAGGTTGCCAATGCCAGAGAAAAGACACCAGTGGATATTCCATTCAGGTGTCCAGTTTTTCTTTCCAATTGTTGTTCTGGATCTCTTTTAATTTTTCCCATCTTCTACTAGTTGAACAATGGCCTCTTCTTCCAAAACGAGTTTTCAGCTCTACAATGGTCTGGACTTCTCATTGTTTGAAAGTCAAGAGGGTCACTCAAAGTAAACTGTGTTGTGCAAGTTAATGTTTTTCCATGTGAAAATGTTGGAGGCCACTCCGTGCTGTCTGTCCAGAAAGGCCAGAAGATGCCTTGAGGTTCCTCAGGTGCATCTGTGTTTGTTTCCTAATGTTATTGCACATGCAATATCATTAATATTATGTCTAAACCTTGTCTTTTTAAGCTGACTCAATGCACCTAAAATAATAGTCAGTCACAGGGAAAAAAAGAGAGGATTAGTCACCACAAGAGGCATTAACTCTTTCTGTTGCCCAAAGAAGTTAGAGGTGATATCACCTTCCTAAATTGCAAACTGATGTCATTGGGTTTTTTTCACAAATTAGTATAAATAATTTCTATCGTTTTGGCAGTCAGAAGTAAAATGCAACAGTCTGTGTCATGTGGGAATCAGACAAGACTGTTTGGTGACTTCCAAGATATGGTTCCCTTCTGCAGCACATGCCGCTGAAGGGCAGGAAATTTCCCTCCTACTCACCTTATTCTTTTTGTAAATCTCCTTTTCCCTGTAGGCTGTCTCAGGTACTGTGCGAGGCTTGGCACGCAGACACAACCAGAAATGCAGGCGAGACTTCGTGGAGCAAAGTGTCCAAGTGCTGAGTGAGCGCCCAATGGGCCATAGCAAAATGCGCAACCAAGTCAAAGAAGAACGGAAAATATTTCATAAAATTCATCTCTGCATCCCTTTTTCCTCTCTTGATATACGGCCTCTTACTCACAGCTGCCCGGGCCGCGGCCTGCGTGTAAATATGTCAGAGCAGCAATGAGACGGAACGCGGACACAGAAATGCCGGCGGCTGCTCGCAGATAAAGCGCCGAGCTGAAGCCGAGGCGTTTATTGTAAATGGAGATCAAGGCAAAGCAGCAACGTTTCTGTTTGACTTCAGCCTGCCAAGGTTACTCGTCCAACTCTTTTCACGACTACCATATGTCCACATGCATTTCCCCCTCCAGAAAGTGAAATGTTACTCTTATGACAGCTCCGTAGCCATTGCAAGTTCCTCGATACTTTCCATGTGTTGTTTTGCAACAACCTGGAAACGCTGTTGGCAGATGGGCCGGTGGGTGCGTGTGTGTGCGTGCACGGGAGAGGGAGGCTGCCAGCCTGCCGGCCGTTGGAGCCTAACACTGCTGTACCTTGACAGTAACTGCAGGGCCTGGGAAGCATTGATGCTCTTTTTTGTTCTTTTCAGCAGGGGGCACTGGATCCTGTAAACAGGAATTGGTACATTGCAGCTCAAAGGGCCAAACAGCTTTAGCAGATGGGGTGATTTTTTTTTTTCCTCTTGATACTTGTGATGTGGAAGAGAAGTCTGTGCACCCACTGACAGAGAGGCATCCAGCAGTATGTGTTGCAGGTGATAGATTTCTTTTTCTTGTATGTTTTGTTTTAATTAAAGTGGCAGCTTATAAAAATGGGTCACTTGGAAACCAGGCTGGTTAAAGCATTAGCCATCTGGCATCCTTCTGAACAGCAGCACCAGCCAGCTGGCACAACTGGGGAAGATGCAAGCGCCTACAAACTACAGCCTGAACAGCACAGGCTGGCACAGAATCTGCTTGAATTGTAGAGACTTGTTCCAGCACTCTGTAGAGGAACTGCAGGAGTACTCTGTGAGGAGTTAATCAGGGAGTTTAGCCTTCTACACAGCCCTTGATCCAAAATGCCCCAATTTTCAACTTATTTCTTCCAACACATGCGTTGTTCTCAGTAATACCCAACATGCTGTATTATCAATGTGCTCCACCCTCTCCTTTTTGTCCCTCTGTGCTGGGGTTTGCATTTTCCTAAATGGCAGCTCAGATGAACTGTAAGCCAAAGGGACGGAGAAAAATATTAGAAACCTTGCTTTTTTTCAGATGACTTTTTAAAATGTATTTCCCACATCTACCTTGCAACATAATTATTTCAGTAACGGAAGTTTTAATGCCAATAAAAACGATACGTTAAAAAAAAACTTCCTAAGCCTTCATCTGGCACTAAACTAACATCTTGAAAATGTGCCTCAACTAACTCACATAATTCAAGAATAAGAAATAAAGTTATTCTTTTTCACACTTCACAGGTACTGACCTATGTTCTTGAGCTGACATAAAATGCTTCACTTTAAAGACTGCTCAAATACTCTTTTAGACAAGAAAATTGAATACTATCACAATACAAGCTTTACCTCTGCTACTGGAAGGCCAGTTTTTCCTGTAAAGCTGCTGGTTAGTTATTGAGGGGTTCACACTTGTATAGCTACACGTCTTATCCCACCCTAGCAATTGCCAGCCACCAGCTGGAAGTTAAAAGTGCTTGAAAATGTGACTGCATCTCACAGCATCTACTGATTCCTGAGCTTAGCGGGACTTGGCGCTTTTCTTTCCCATGTTTTCTCTCCCAAGTCTGATCTCTTGCCCTGGCAGTGCATGGTTTTAATTGTTACATCACGATTTGAGAGCTGCCCATAATGGCGTACAGCCCATAAGGCTGGCCACTGGCCTGCAATGCTGAATGCTGCTGTTCCCACTTAAATCAGGTAGAAGCCATTGATTGCTTAGGGCTCTAGGTTTGTTCTTTTATTAAATAGCAGGCCCTAACAATTGCTAGTGTTCACCAAGAAGAAGTGTGATGAAAGGCCATATTATGTCAGGCTCAATTGTATCTTTTCATCTGTCCTGCTTGGTATGGCATGTTCCAGGTGGAGGCTGGCAGGATGCTAGTGCTAAAACCTGCCCTCTAGCAGCAAAAAAAGTATCCTAGGTCCTCATCCCATGTTCAGATCTCAGCTCCCTTTGCTACCCTTCTCCCATCAAAATCTTTTGATATGTGGATACCTCCTGAGTGGGTACTTCACTATTCTGAGAAGGGAGATCAGTATCTTCTAACTTCTTTACAGATATATGTGCTCTTGAAGTGATTCTTACAGTCTGTGTTAGGCTAGATCAGGTCTGTGTTTTGTACCCAGCTTCACCTTCTGCCACAGATGCCTGATACCAAAAATCATTATTCCTTAACACCACATGATACCGAAACAGGTAGATGGTAAACTTGGCCATAACTTGGTTTGGTAGCAACTTCCCTTAGCGGTTTTAAAGTGTGGGCTTTTTGTTTTTCTTTTTTTGTTTTTGTTTTCTCCCAGGTTAATGGGATATATGGACAGGAGACTTCAGCTTAATGCCCTGGAATCAGGACAATTTGAGGTGTTGCCTAGCTCAGCCCTCCGACAGGAAAGGAAAGAATAACTTGAACATCTCTCCAGTCATTTCCTGATATTTGCTGTTAGTGAGCAGATGTAATTCACTCCAAAAGGGACTGCCAAGTGCTCCTGCGTGTCTCATCTACTAAGCAAGGTTGGTAGCACCAGCTCTCCGTAAGATTTCCCTCTCCTGAGGAGAGGCTGGTGTCAGCCCCAGCTAACTCTCAGAGGCCTGACATCAAACTGGTTGGAGTTCTGTTAGAAGTCAACTGAAAACCTGTTGCTGTTATTATCTGACACTGGCTGAAACAAAAGCCAAATGTTGATGAATGTCTGATCCTAAAAGTAAACATTTTGGTTTTTTTTTTCTCTTTGCAAGTCAGGGGCCCTCTAGGGTTTTATCTGATTTTGGCAGTCTGTTGCACATTTTGGGGCCTGGAGCATGGTTTTAATTGTTACATCACAAAAGTTGCCAAATAATGTTGAATGCTCCTTAAAAACTCTCTCAATTTTATGGAACTTCTCAACGGCTTGACTAATACAATAATTGCTGGAACCCAGCTATGTTGCCTAGTGGCAAATGGAATTTTTTCATAATGATGCTGTCTGTCGTTAATAGCAGGATTTGTTCTTTCTCTCAGTGGGAGAGAGGCCAGAAATCAATGGTATCTGTCTTTTTTAATGACAGCTAACAGCAAACGGATAAAATAATCAATTACATCTATAGCTAGGTAGATAAAGTATAATTTATCATGTCAAAAACAAAAATGTTTTTAATTGGGCTGTTAATCATTTTGTAATTTTAACTAACGAGATGAGGGCACTATTTTACTAATATTTTGTACAATATTAACTGATCTTATAATAGTTTTAATAGCAGTGTTTACTACTATCTGCCAAAATAAGAAACACCATTTCTGCTTTCATTAGCTGAAGCCTTTGCAGTTACAAAGGGCTGCCATTCTCCTTCATTTTTCTCCCACTGGAAGGATCCAGGTGAAGAAAAGGGTCTGGCTCACGAACCAGCTCTGAGTTTCTGTTTGATTAGGAGCGTGCACACCCTGGTTACCACCAAACATGTTACTGAAATGATAATTATTTTTTTAACAGGAAAACTTAAAAGCAGATTAGTGTAACAGCAAAGGCTGAAAGTGAGGAGTTTTGATGTCTAGCCACACCTGTGTTGTCGTGTGGGAAGCTGGGCAGATCACTTAATCCCTCCTAACTTGTTCTCCCTGTCTGCAACACAAGTATTAGGTGCTTCATCATGCTGCTGTGGAGTACGTTGGTGGTGCAAGATTCCTGAAAATTTCATTTAAGAATGGCAAACATCCGGGGAGCTGGCAGCAAAAGGAGCCTCTCCAATGAGCTTTGAGGAAAGAGAGAGGAAGTTTATAACTGGAGCTGAATCTTCCCCACATTCTAACTGAAAACGTCCTCATGATGCCTGATAAGTGGGAAATCATCTACCAGATAAATCTCACAGCACTGGGGTAATTTGGCTGTCTACTCTTTTGATATTCATGTTATTCATATCAATGTCATGACTAGATAATGCTGTTTGGGACAAGATCTCTATCTTGCCTATAAAATCCGCATTTAGAAAATTCCAGGCATGCTAGGAAATGTGATTCTTGAGAGCCCCTGTGTGTGAAATACATGGCATTACTTCCCTGCTTCAGAAGTGCTGTGCAGCCACTGAACTCTTAACTTCCCTCAGAAAAGCTCTGCCTTTCTGCCTTAAATCAAGAGCTGTTCTTGGAAGTATCTACATGCATGGAATACCGTCTGCTAAGGGCAAATTTCACTTTGTAACTGTGACTTTGTTATGGCTTTAGCTCTTTGTCCACAGCATCTCCCAGTGTTGCATGTAACACAGAGGGGCAGGACTGCCCTTCTGGTAACTGGATCTTCCCTGAGAGTGGTGGAAAATATCAGATGCTGAGTGGGTTTTTTACAGGTCTAATGGCATCACTGAGGCAGTATTTAGACTGGGAAATAGGGAGGAGAGACTATGGGACTGACTTTCCTAAGCATGAATACATGGACATTCAAAACATTCCCAGAGAGTCACGTTGCACAACTTAATGGGCCTGGTGCCCTCACCTGTGCCTATTTTATGTGACTCTTAACTCTGGCATTAAATAGAAACAAGACTTGTGCTAATGACATCCACAGCCCGTGGTGAAGAAAAAATGCTGCTACTTTGATACAGATCCCCTTTTAAGGAGGACACAATAGACAGCCAAGGCTTTTTCCCATCTGCTAGCTGAATGTTACAGTTCCTGGCCCAGAAACGTGCCCTCAGCAACACCCCTCTATTTTCAGTGTTACACTAGATAATTTTTAATAAGAAAATGGTTATCTATTGCCCCTGTGTTTGCCACCTTGACTTTACCCTCCTTCTCCATTAGGTGAAAGGAGAGAAAAGAAGGAGCAGGGTTGGCTGGGGGAGGGGAGCAAATAACTTGGGGAGGGCGTTAAATAGACCAGCTGCTATGTGTGAAGTATCTGCTTTCTAATTGCTTCTGTTGGAATTCAGGGGATAAAGGCACTGGCTACACTTAATTAATAAGGCAGGACTCACATAAACTCCAGCTGTGAGCACAGGACTGGTCTTTAAAGGATAAGCTCAGGAGGTGAGGCAGAGAGTTTGATTTTGTTGCATGAAGTTCCACCACACGCTGCTGGTGGTGGCTGTCCATCCGTCTGTCCATCCGTCTGTCCATCCATCCATCCACTTAAGCCTTTTGCTCTCAGCTAGAGGTGAGGTATCTGTTACTGTCTGTGCCCCAGCCCAAAGAAAACTGATCTGTCCTCAGAAATCAAAGATGTGAGGCTATGTTTCAAGCTAGGATGAAACTGTTGTGCTTTCATCCTAGCTTGGAATCCCCCAAAAGAGATGTTTGGATCAAAGGTTTGGTCAGGTTTAACAAAAATATGAGCTTTTGCAAAGATGTAGGCTTGGCCTGTGGCCCTCTTTTCTGCCTCGTTTCAGAGGATCTGGATTTTGCATCCAGAACATCTCTCTTTCTCATCCAGACTCTCTGCCTGAGGGGGTTTGCTACAGGGTAGGTCTGGTGGGGTGCTGTACAGCTGATCCTTCGGATCGTCTCCAGGGATGTCTCTGAGGAACACAGTGGTTCTTCCCTTCCTTTCCCTTCCCTCAAAAAGGTGACCAGGAATTTCCCTGAGATACAGACGAGGCCCCTGAAACTCACATGACAATGTGAATGTCACACTGTTCCCCATTTGTTCCGGTTCCGTTATCACTGCCATGGGACCCCCCACATCAGTGCAAGGTCCTCCCAGGCAGGTCACAGCAGCGCTTCTGTGGGGTGGCACCTCCGAATTTCAAAGCTTGCTGTGCAGGTGTGCTACACTAGGAAACGGTGGAATCAGAAGCAAAGGTGGAAGGGATGTTCCCATGTAGTTAAGAGTCTGTTTTTCCTCACTAGCTGTGTAAGGAAATGAGCTTCCTGCATAGGATGAGACCTCATTTGCTGTCCTGAAGTCTTTGTGGCCTGACTGGTCTGCTCTTTTGGGTGCCAGCAGCCAGGGCAGGTCTGTTCCGTGTGTGATTGCTCTCCCTCGTGTGCCTTGACATGTCTTCCAGGAGGATCTGTTCCATGATCTTCCCATGCACAGAGGCCTGTAGTTCCCCATGTCCTCCTTCCTCCGTCCTCGTAAATGGCAGTGATGTTTCCCTTTTTCCAGACCCCAGGGACTTTGCGTGACAGCCACGACTTTTCAGACGTGACAGAGTGGCTTGGCACCCATATCAGCCGGGTCCCTCAGGTCCCTGGGATGTGTGTCTTCTGCCCCATAGACTTGTACACGTTCAGTCCCAGGAGGTGATGCTGGACTTGCCCTTTGAGTTGGGGGGAGTTTGCTCCTCCGTTTCCCGCCTAGAGGTTCAGGGGATGTGAGCTTCAGGGGTGTGAGAAATATGAGATTCCTGGCTGCCATTTCATTTAAGGATGAGAATAGTGTCTTTTTTCTTTTTAAGTATGGATCAATCATGTATGAAGATGAACTCCCACTCAGCCTCCCTTCATCCCTAATACTTTCATTTCATTCTCCTGCTGCTTGCTCTTTTATGGTTTTGTCCTTGACTGGTAACATTTCTCTCTTGTTCTCCCTTACATGCACCATTAAGAATGGGAAGAACTTCTATTAAAAACTCAAGCCTCATGTAGATCTTAAGCTGTAAATAATGTTTTATACAGATTCTAAGATTGTTAAATCCTTCCAGTTTGCCTCCCTCCTACTTCAGCCTACAGTTCATTTGATTAGAGCAGAGATATTCTTTTGAAAATGAACTATTTCTGTTTTGATTTTGCGAGCAGCCTTGAGAAGATACAGTCTGGCTGGGTGCACTGTTAATCAGAAGATTGGCCGCATGAATCCAGAAACACTGCCTTCAAGAGAACTGACTGCTGGCATGTAAAAAAAAGCACACCAGAGAAACCCTGGAATTCTGAGATGTAGTTGACTTTCTAAATACAGGCAAGTTGCAATTAAAAACCAGTTATTTGGGGAGAGATGCATTCAAAATACAGATCTTTGGAGGGGGCTGGCAGGCACATCACAAGTGAAATTAATTAGTAATGTGAGGAGGTAGCTATGCTCAAGGATTAACTAATTTTGGACAGCTGTAGGAGCCAACCCACTGGGCTCTGTGCATTGCCTCACTGTAAGTATTTATCCTGCTCCTCTGGATACCAGGGCATCACAGAGCCAGGCATCTGAAATGCAGCTTTTCCTTACGAATGCAACTAAACCAGCTGCTGCATTTTGCAGAGATCCTGACACTGTAGTGCTGAGCTGCTCTCCATCCCGCTTGATGAAATCTGCTCACCTCAGCCTGCATGTTAGGGGTATGGCCAGTCAGTCAGGCTTTGCTAGTATGGGGCTGAGCATGCAGAAATATCCTGAGCGATATTTACTGCAAAGCTGCTGAAAGGCTTCACAGTAGACAGCCTACACAACGAAACTATCTCCTCCAATTAGTCCATGGTCATCAATGAGGTAAATGTCTCTGCCTTCTGACCCAGACAGGGTGGAGTTTTAATAACAGACATAAATCTGTTGTGCTTCTCTCCTCATGACCTAACATATGCTGTCAGGGCAATGCATGCCTCAGAGAAGTAGAATTTATGTGTACGATAAAACAATAGAGCTTCAGTGCTATCAGCTGTTTGATGAACTTTAATATACATCTGCTATAAAAAAGGCAGCGAGCACCAGAATGTGATACTCAAATAAAAACCCTTGATCCATTTGCATGACAGATCCTCAATTTACTCACATTCACGTGAGGGACACACATAAAAATTATATCCACCCTTAAATTCACTTAGAAGCAGCCTGAAATACCCCCCAGTTGCAAGTGATACTGCAGTTCTTAGCTAATACTCATGTTTCCGTGGCTTTGCCTTCATGATTCTTCCAGTGGTTCCTTTATGTTTTCTGGTATTTTGCCAAACACCTGTGAATCAGTGCACAACAAATATTCTTGCCATTTAATTTAGACTTGCACAGAAAGCCTATAGTAGGCCGGCTGCACACCTAATCCCAAACCTCTAAAGAGGTTTAAGGCACTCTGGTTTCACCTAATCCCGAAACCTAAACCAGAATCATTGAAAAACTCCATGACACCACAGGAATGGGCAAATAAAGGGTTTCCACTATGAAATTATTAAAGGGACACGGTGTATCTTTTGGATTTGAGACCTTAGGCTTTACCTAAGGAGCTTGGTGTCCACAATGCAGTGTTTGTTTTGAAGACAGGAGGTTGAAAGCTTTATTTAACTAGAGATTTGGCTTCTTCCTCCTGCCCAACAAGAGGGTGGGTGATCCCTTGGAGGAATGGAGGACGGGAAGGAGGGGGACCTGCAAGCAGGGGTGGCTGTGCAGCACAACGGGACACACAGGTGTGGGCTCTGCAGTACTGGTGGTTGGTGCTGGTGGTACTGGCAGTGCGCTGCTGCAAACAGAGATTGTGCTTCTGAGAGCTCTGAGAGGGGCAGCAGCGTGTAAAATCCTGCACTGTGATGGGACTTTCAGCAACAAACTGCATCTGACTGTGGCACATTTCAGCTAGCGTTAATTCCAGTTCCATTAATTGCATTCTGACCTTCCTGAATTATTGCCCACACCTCGTTATCTGTGTCCTGAAGGGGTGCTGCACGCTCAGGATGGCTGGGGGCGCAGATCCGCACCCCATTCTAACCAACACCTCCCAGGTGCAGACCGAGCGCGCTCTGCACGCGGCCCAACCGCGACCGGCGGCGCACAGCTGCACCGCGGCCCTCCATCGCGCTCCGCTCGGCGCATGCGCACCGCACCGCCATCCCCCGGCGGGTGCCAAAAGCGGCCCGCGGGCATCACGTGGGTCCGGCCTGCCGCCGCGCGGCGCTCCGCGCGTGCCCGGTCCCCAGGAGAGGCCCCAGGTACGGCGGGGGAGCGCCGGATCGGCGGCGTTTCGCTTCCCACCCCCCCGACCCCGAGGCGGAGCGACGATCGGTGAGGGACGGCGGCGGGGCGCGGAGGCGGCGGGGCGGGCGGGAAGCGTCTGCTCGGGGGAGGCGGAGTGCGCCTGCGCGGGGCGTCGCCGTGACGACGGCGGAGCGGCTGCGGGGCGGCGTGGAACGGTGGCCGTCCTCGCGCAGCGCCCGCCTGTCCCGCGCGGAAGGGCGCGGCTCCGTCTCGCTGAGGCGGCGGAGCGGCCCCTGGGCCGGTGCTTTCGTAGCCGCCAGAAGCGCGTCTTTTTAAGGCGTTTAAAAGGGAGCGGTAACGAACGAGCTCAAGTAAAATCCGCGCGGACGCAGGTGGGGCACGGAGCCGAACCCCGCCTTTCGGGGCCGGATCTCCCGCCCGCGCAGAGCGCAGCCCCGCGGAATCCCGCTGAGGTAACGCTGCGCCGCAGCCGGTGTCGGCGCGTGCCGGCACGGAGCGCTGCGAACAGCCGAGAGCGCGGAGCTCCGCGCGCTGCGCTGCAGCCGGGCCCCCGAATGGCCGCACTGCGCCCCCTGGCGGCGGCACGGCTCGGGAGCGGCGGCCGTGGAAGTGACGAACGTGTTCTGTGCGGCTCCTTCACGTGCCGCTTTCCGGTAGAAAGTCAGCTCATGCCCAGATCCAACAACTTTTGAAATAAATAAGGTAAAAGAGAAGGGCGTGCTGTTTGGTAGCGCTCTGGGAAGAAATAAAGGCTGTGAGGGATCGGAGTCGGGGTGTCCTAGTGCTCCTTTGCAGCCGTTTGTTGGAGCCTTGCGCTTTCCTTGCAGCCCGCCGGCTGCCTGCCTGGGCAGGACGAGGTGTGTGCCCGTGTGAGCCGTAGGGCTGGGGGCACGTGTACTCGTTGTTGTCCATTTCGGTACATTTTAAATAAAATACTGACTTTTTAATGTATTTTAACCTGTTTTTAATGATTTCTGTTATGGTTTTAATTGGTCTGCAGGCAGGCTCGTCACTGTAACAACATCCTGTGGTCAGTAATCTAAGCTGGTTCCTTCAGATGTGCCGTTATCAGTTATCAGTCGATTATGATGGTTTTGCAGATGGAAGTGACGTTTCTGCACACACTGGGATAGCTGCCAGCTTCTCATTTCAAACAGCCTGGTTTTGGTTCACAGCTGCAGTTTCAAGCATTAGAATCTAACATAGTGCAGAGCAGATCTGTGGTCTGCATGCACCGCGCCTTTCCGGAAGCTGCTGGTCATTTCAGAATACAGCGAGTGTCTTTTTGCAGTGAAACCTTTAGGACTCGCTCTGATGTTCTGAAGAGGTGTCTGTTGTCACATACATCTGCTGGGTTGTGTTTTGTGTTTGCATGCTTTCATGTTTATCTCGAGTGCAATAACATTTCAGTGTAGTAGTGAGAACCGCAAACCAGTCAGTTGTTGCTAATTAGCAGGTGTGGGAATTTAGAGCTGAAAATTCTTGCTTTCCAGTATTTACCTACGAAGCATTGTCTTTGTGGTGGAAAATAGCTGCTGTGACTCTGTGTGCTTTGTAGTAAATGGTGCTGTTGTGGGCAGGTTGGGTTAGAGGTGTGCGTTACATTCCTGGGGTTGTAAAGACAAATCTAGAGAGGATTAAAAAACATTCTTTTTACTTTTTGCACACCTTTTCTAAGGTGTAGTACATTATGTGGTACTTCACTTTTGTACGAGTTTGAACCTTGGCACAGGATTGCGTGGTTGTGAGGATGTCTTTACATAGGAAAAAAAGTAAGTTTCATAGCAGTAGTAGCACTTTGATCCAAAAATTCAGTGTGGATGGATTTGTTTTCTTTATGTGAATACAGTTTGACTCACTGCAATAAACCTGATAGTACAAATGATGGGTTTCCAATTAGTAATACCTTGAACGCCTATTTAACTATTGTTTTGTGGGTTTGTTGTTGTTTCTTTCTTAAAATACTGGTCTCTGTGGAGCAGTAGAAGTGCTCACAGAGCCATGAGAAAGAAATACATCTACAAAAATGTCTGTGTATTTTTTGCCTGAGCAGAAGAGCCTCCTTTGGAGCCTTGTGCTGGCACAGCTCTATGCTAAAAGGAAGTGGACTCTGCTTTTCCTAAGCAAAATACATGTGTAAGTATATATATTATTACTATACACACTCATACATGTTTCACAACTTTCTACAGCACGTTGTGTTGATGTGCTGCTAATGATGGCACAGCTCATCTTTTCTGATGTTGTTTCATTTCTAACGCTGTTTTGCTGGACGTGTCCTCGCAGTGAGGGGCTGTTTGAGAGAGCTGGAGCTTTGTGGGATGTCAGGTTTGCTGTGCTGTGAAAAGCAACTCGTACAGAGCAGATGCTGTTATCAAGGGTGCAGGTCTTTGTAGGTCTTGGGTAGGTGGCAGACATGACACAGATCTCCTCAGGGACGGAGGTGTTACTGGCTGTTGTTTTCAAAGGCACTTCTTATCCTCAGCGGGTTGCTGAGCACTCGGCCGCAGGCTCTGGGCTGTGTTGTGGTTCAGGATTCAGGTACCAGTCTGTCTCTTCTGCATCTCAGAAGTGGGGGCTGCAGAACATGGCCTTTGCTAAGGGCGGGTTTATTCTCACTGCTCTTCGGAGGGGCGTAGGATCGGGGCGCTGCGCTGTAAGCAAATGAGGAGTCCTGGGAGTAAAATCCTTCCAGTCTGCAAATTCTCTCCCTTGTAATTTATTTTTAAAGGTCAAACTGTGAGTGTTACAGAAAAAAGGAGTCGTTTGTACAGGAAAACCTTTCCAGGTGATTCTCAACCCTGACCTCTGCCTTTAGGTTTCCCAGAGCTGCTGGGTGGCTGCTGGCTGAAGGGCAAAGCTGAGCAGGAACTATTTGCAAAGAAATGCAGAGCAGTGCTTTGCCTTTACATTTTTTTTTAATTATCATTTTAAGTTACTCCATGATTTTTTTAGTAGCCGTTAAATTCTATGATTTAGAGAAGGAAAGGATTCTGCTTTAAAACAAAGCAGGTAGGAATACCAGGACGGCTGTTTCACACTCGGACAGCTGGAGCAGCTGTGTGTTCCCCACTGAGATGAAAACGCTGCTCTCTGAGATTTAGAAAGGTAAAAAGTGTGACTGGAGCATTAACTGGGAGGGCCACATGATACCAAAAGTTAGCTCTGTGTTCATTGTAAAGAAAATCCTCATTGTAGAAGGGAAAAAATGAACTTGTTCCACCACTTTCTTTTTTTCCTCAGGAGAAAACACAGAATATATCCTAGGTAATAAATCTGTTTTATGGCTCACATGAGAAAGGGTGGAGAAACTCCCATTATTTTCTTCCCAGAAATTGAAATGCACATGAGCTAACATGGAGACACTGGGATTTTCATCCAGCAAACGCACAGCTGGCTTCTGCTTTTATTATTTTCCTAAGCCTAATAATTTTTCATTTGATTAGCTGGTGGCTGACACAGCTATCACTTGCTCAGTGTTCTGTATATTTAGTAGAGTAGGTGTAATGCAAAAATGATAGTGTAATACATACCCAGAAGCATAGCTCAACTTGCTCATTTGACGAGCAGTTTCTGCTTCCCTCTCTTTAAAATGCCAGTTTCTATCTTCAAGTTTTGTGTTTGAGCAGAAAAAAGTAACTGCTTGAGGACTGGAGGCAGGAGAGCTGTGTAAGCATCTAAGAATTCATTCTTGATATTTGCATTATGGAGTCGGTACAGATTTGCGTGATGCTCTGTGCATGGAAAGGGATGGCAGGGATGAGGTGGAGGTCTGCAGGGCAGCTGGGCCTGTGGATGTGCTGGGAGGATCTGAGGAAGGAAAGTCCTGGTGAAGTGAAGATTTTTAACCTTGATGAGTTCGTTAGAAATCTTGACTTCTGCCTCCTTTGATGTCAGTTTGGTGCTCTTTTATACAGTGAATGCCTGGGGAAGGAGTGGTTTGTAAGGATTAGTAGAACCTGTGTCCTACGTATCTGCATTCTGACCTGAGTCCGTTGCTCTCAGTAGTTGCTGATAAGTGCTGGTGTCTCTGGCATAGGAGGAGCTGCCATGCTGGCTCCTGGCTGGGGAGAGTGCTGCGTCTGGAGGGGAGCAGCTGGGGATGCTGGTGGGGAGGCATTGGATGCATGGAGGCATGGAGGCGTGGTTTGCTGTGGAAGCACTCACCTTTTCTGCAGCACAGCACCGTGGCCCTTCCTTTGCACGCTGATCCCTTGCCCCAGGTGCACAGGGCTCCGACTGTCCTCCTGCTGAGGCAGTGCGCAGGGCCGTGCTGCAGGGCGATGCGGCTGGGAGCAGTTAGGCTCAACTGAACAAGACTCTCGAATTCGAGATGAATTGGGAAAATGTGAAACGTGCAATATTTTCGTGTTTACTTCTTTTTTTTAATGGTGTATTCAGGTCCTCCTCCTTTCACTTCAACAATTGAGGGTGTTGGTTACTTCCTCCCGTGTTTATGTAAGGCGAGCTTTTTATAGTCCGTTTTCCATTGCTGTGTGCGTTATTCTTCCCACCCGCTCACAGCCAGTTGCACTGATAGAAGGCCTTCATTTGTTGCTTTTTTTAATCTGGTTTGTTGTGGTTTTTATGGTGTTTTTTAAATAATGGAGCTATGGGATTGGACACGGTCATTACTCCTGCTTAGAAATGTGGTTTTTGACAAACTCTGTTTTGTTCTCAGTAAAGGAAAGCCATGTAATGTAGCAAGGCATGATCAGCCATGCTTAGCTGACAGGGCGTTTGGTTTGAGCTGCGCGCTTCCAGCCCAGCTCTTGCTTGGCTGAAGATCCGTCTGGAAGAAAAAAAAACCAAGCAGAGTTTTGTTGAAAATGGCCTGCATCCTGTTTTTTTACAGAAAAAGAATTCTTATTGTAATGCCAAATGTAAAGAATTTTTCATTATTATCCATTCCAACTTCCGTAGGAGTGACCTGTGTGAACGTAGTGTGAGGTGTGAGGTGGACCGAGCTGCCTGCTGCTCCGGGTCTTTGCTGTGCTTGGTCTCTGTACAGGCTGCTGCTTTTCCCAGTGACCAGTTTGAAGGTGACACCGGGGTTCTGAACAGCG